ATATGTGCATGACATTTTCCCAACCTGATGATCTTCAGATTTTGTGGACTTCAGTTCCCATCAGCCCTAGTAATTATTGTTGTTTAGTCGCGAAGTCATGTCTGACCCATCGTGACCCGATGGACAACATTCTTTCAGGCCTTCCTATCCTCCACCATCCCCCCGAGTCCACTTAAGCTCACACCAACTGCTTCAATGACTCCATCTAGCCACCTCATTCTCTGCCGTCCCCTTCTTCTGCCATCTGTTGTTCCCAGCATTAGGGTCTTCTCCAGTGAGTACTTCCTTCTCATTAGGTGGCCAAAGTATTTGAGTTTCATCTTCAGTATCTGGCCTTCTAAAAAGCAGTAAGGGTTGATCTCCTCTAAGACTGACTGGTTTGATCTTGTAGTCCAAGGGACCCGCAGAAGTCTTCTTCAGCACTACAGTTCAAAGGCATCAATTCTTTGGCACTTAGCCTTCCACATGGTCCAGCTTTCATAGCCATACATTGCAACTGGGAAAACCATACCCTTGACTATACGCACTTTTGTTGGCGGGGTGATGTCTCTGCTTTTTAGTATGCTGTCTAGATTTGTCAGAGATTTCCTTCCAAAAAGAAAGCGTCTTTTAATTTCTTGACTGCAGTCCCCGTCTGCGGTGATCTTGGAGCCCAGGAAATTAAAATCTGTCACTACCTTCATTTCCTCCCCATCTATTTGCCAGAAAGTGAGAGGACTGGATGCCATGAACTTAGTTTTCTTAATGTTGAGTTTCAAGCCAACATTTTCGCTTTCACCCGCATCAAGAGGCTCTTTAGTTCTTCTTCACTTTCTGCCATTAGAGTGGTATCACCTGCGTATCTGAGGTTGTTGAAATTTCTCCTGGCAATCTTAATTCCAGCTTGTGGTTCCTCTAGCCCCGCCTTTCTCATGATGTGCTCTGCATATAAGTTAAATAGGCAGGGCGACAGTATACAGCCTTGCCGAACTCCTTTCTCAATTTTGAACCAATCAGTGGTTCCGTTTCCAGTTCTCACTGTTGCTTCTTGACCCGCATACAGGTTTCTCAAGAGACAAATAAGATGATCTAGTACTCCCATCTCTTTAAGAACTTGCCACAATTTGTTGTGATCCACACAATCAAAGGCTTTAGCATAGTCAGTGAAGCAGAAGTAGATGTTTTTCTGGAACTCCCTAGCTTTCTCCATGATCCAGCATATGTTGGCAATTTGATCTCTAGAGCCTCTCCCTCTCTGAAATCCTGCCTGTACTTCTGGTAGTTCTCTGTTGGAGAACTGCTGGAGCCTAGCTTGTAGGATTTTGAGCATAACTTTGCTAGCATGTGAAATGAATGCAATGGTGCAGTAGTTTGAACATTCTTTGGCATTGCCCCTCTTTGGGATTGCAGTGTAAACTGACCTTTTCCAATCCTGTGGCCACTGATGAGTTTTCCAAGTTTGTTGGCATATTGAGTGTAGCCCTTTTACTGCATCATCTTTTAAGATTTTGAATAGCTCAGCTGGAATACTGTCACCTCCACTAGCTTTGTTGTTGCTCAGACTTCCTAAGGCCCATTTCACTTCACATTCCAGGATGTCTGGCTCGAGGTCAGTGACCGCCCCATTGTGCTTATCAGGGACGTTAAGCTCTTTCTTGTATAGTTCCTCTGTGTAATCTTGCCACCTCTTAATCTCTTCTGCCTCTCTTAGGTCCCTGCCATTTTGGGCCTTTATCATGCCCATCTTTGCATGAAACGTTCCCTTCATTTCTCCAATTTTCTTGAAGAGATCTCTGGTCCTCCCTATTCTATTGTTTTCTTCTATTTCTTTGCACTGGTCATTTAAGGCCTTCTTCTCTCTTCTAGCTATTGTCTGGAATTTTGCATTCAATTGGGTGTATCTTTCTCTTTCTCTCTTGCCTTTCGCTTCCCTTCTTTCCTCAGCTATTTGTAAAGCTTCCTCAGACAGCCGTTTTGCTTTCTTGAATTTCTTTTTCTTTGGGATGGTTTTAGTTGCTGCCTCTTGTACAATGTTGCGAACCTCCGTCCATGGTTCTTCAGGCACTCTGTCTATCAGATCTAATTCCTTAAATCTGTTTGTCACCTCTACTGTATATTCATCAGGGATATGATTTAGGTCATACCTGAGTGGCCTAGTGCTTTTCCCTACTTTCTTCAGCTTAGCCTAAATTTTGCAACAAGAAGCTCATGATCTGAGCCACAGTCAGCTCCTGGTCTAGTTTTTACTGACTGTATAGAGCTTCTCCATCTTTGGCTGCAGAGCACATAGTCACTCTGATTTCTGTGTTGACCGTCTGGTGATGTCCATGTGTAGAGTTGTCTCTTGGGTTGTTGGAAAAGAGTGTTTGCCATGACCATCGTATTCTCTTGACAAAATTCTACCAGCCTGTGTCCTGCTTCATTTCGTACTCCAAGGCCAAACTTGCCTGTTATTCCAGTTATCTTTTGGCTTTCTACTTTAGCATTCCAGTCCCCCATGATGATAAGGACATCATTTTTTTGGTGTTAATTCTAGAAGGTGTTGTAGGCCTTCATAGAATCGGTCAACTTTAGCCTCTTCAGCACCAGTGGTTGGAGCATAGACTTGAACTATTGTGATGTTGAATGGTTTGCCTTGAATTCTAACTGAGATCATTCTGTCATTTTGCAGATTGTATCCCAGTACTGCTTTTCCTACTCTTTTATTGACTATGAAGGCTACTCCATTTCTTCTGAGGGATTCTTGCCCGCAGTAGTATACCTGATGGTCATCTGAATTAAATTCACCCATTCCTGTCCATTTTAGTTCACTGATTCCTAAGATGTCGATGTTCAGTCTTGTCATCTCGTTTGACCACATCCAGGTTGCCTTGATTCATGGATTTTACATTCCAGGTTCCTATGGAGTATAGATCTTTACAGCATCGGACTCTCCGTTCACCACCAAATACATCTGCAACTGAGTGTCCTTTCAGCTTTGACCCAGTCGCTTCATTCTTTCTGACGCTACTAGTTCTAGCCCTCCGCTCTTCCCCAGTAGCACATTGGACACCTTCCGACCTGAGGGGTTCATCTTCTGGCATCATATCTTTTTGCCTTTTGGTACTGTCCATAGGGTTTTTATGGCAAGGGTACTGGAGTGGATTGCCATTTCCTTCTCCAGTGGATCACTTTTTGTCAGAGTTCTCTGCTATGGCTTATCCGTCTTGGGTGCCCCTGCATTGCATAGCTCACAGCATATTGAGCTACACAAGCCCCTTCGCTATGACAAGGCAGTGATCCATGAAGGGGCCCTAGTAATTAGGATGGCCAAGTATTAGGAATCCGGGAAGTTACTGTAAACATCTGGCTGACACTTCATCGGAGAAGCTTGTTCAACCCTGGCCAATTTCTTTTCCTCCAAGTTTTTAGCTGGAAAAAGCCTTGAAAGAGATTACAGCTTTTAAAAGAGCTTTTAAGCAAAAGAAACTTACTGAGCCATTCCCTGAAGACAATATTTTATTAGCACATAAAAAGCCAGGCACAGAACTATTGATTATATTGTGACTAGTGACAATTTATTACCCTTTGTAAAAGGCCCCGGACTCAACACTCTAATCTTTTTGTCAACATCTCTTAGCACTAAAGAAGTCTTACAAGCACATAGCGGCTACGAAGTAGAAAGTGGATGTACTGGCAACATGGGAACATTTAATTTAGGCAGCTAAGGACAAAATGTGGCAGTTTTCTGGAAACCGATATCTAATAATTCATTTAAGGATCCCTGTCCTTTAGACTCCCTTATATTGGCAAACACCTGGGAATCCTACTTTCATGAGTTATATGCAGATTCAGTCTGTCAAGGTCGATTGCAAGGGATACATGACCTTCCCCCACAGTCCCATCTCAGTAAAAGTAGTAGTATCACTCATCAAGCAGAGAGGTCCCCAGAGAGGTTCCCCCCTGGCGCTGATGTTGTATTCTTTTCAGCATCAGGCAAAACCCTTTTTATTTTCCTGCTATTTTAATGTTTAATTGATTTTAACTGGGGTTGTAGAGTATATTAATGGTCAGATGCTGTAGGGTCTGTTTTATTCTACTTATTTATTGTAAGCTGTTCCAAGATGTTCTGTAGGGGACGTGACAGAAAAGCTTTTTTTAAATAAATAATCAATCAATCAATCATTCAATCTTAAAAGAGGCAAAGCCCCTAGTACTGGAGCTTTTAAAAAATAATGTGGACTGGTAGGATCCACTTTTAGCCTCCCTTTTTACCTATATTCTCCAGGTATATACCAGAGGATTTCTGGCAGGTGGTCGTAGTCCCATTTTTCAAGATGGACAGAAGGAATGTCCCAGCAAGCAACAGACCAATAGGTCTGCTGAATATTATCAGCAAACCATAAGTTGGTCATCTCCTAGATGAGTAGTGGCAAACCTATGGCACACGTGCCGCAGCGGGCACGCAGAGATGTCTCTGTTGGCCTGTGAGCCAAGTCGCCCCAGCAGCCGAGCATTGGATAACAGCGCACATAGGGGCCATGCGCATGCTCAGAAAGGAGTAGCGGTGCCAGGCGATGATGTCACAAGCCACAACTCATTAGCTGTGACTTGTCTGAGCTTTCGCATGGCCGGCCAGTGCACTGCCAAGGATATATATATATGTTTGTGTCATTGAAAGCTCTGTTATTGTGTTTTTCTTTTAAGACAAAAGGAGTTAATGTATGAATTGTCTTTTCTAAACTAAAATCTCAGTTTTCAGGTTTTATTGCAGTGTTGGCACTTTGCAATAAATAAGTGGGTTTTGGGTTGCAGTTTGGGCACTCGGTCTCTAAAAGGTTCACCATCACTGTCCTAGATAAACTCAAATGCTGGCTTGAAGACAAAAACCTCATTGCAGAAGAGCAAGCTGGATTCAGGGAAGGAAGGTCTATATTAGGTCGTATTATAATCACAGAGCATTTGATTGAAAATATGCAATCAATAGTCAAGGGTCTCTGTATGTGGCTTTTATTGATTTAAAATCCACCTTTGATCCACAGAAGAAGATTGTGGGAAAAATAAGAGGCCATATCTATTGACCACAGGCTACTACTGTTTTTGAAATATGCCTTCTACCCAATACGTCCCTCAAGGTAAGATGCAGTAAGTAAGGGCACCTTTCCAATAAAATTTTAACATCCAAAGGAGTGAAGTAGCGATGTGTTTTAGCACCTTCCCTGTTCACTATTCATCAAGCACAACTTGTTAGACTATTTAAACATTCCTGATTTCCACCCTCCAACATTAGCCAATCATAAGAGACCTCTGCTTTTGTATGCTGATGGCATAGTTATCTTTTTGAGCACCCCTGTGGAACTTAGAAGGGACTTAAGGAAGTTTAGTTATTTTTGTGAGGAGAATCAGCTTGTGTTCAATTACCATAAAGTTGTGCAAAATCTGGGTGCAGAAAGAATAAAAATGGGTGTCCAACAAGTGACAGCCACTGCAATGTGCCACTGGGATACTTTAAAGGGGCCGTCTTTTCAGAGATCATGAAAAGAGAAGAGTTCTGGTCACAGTGCAAGGAGACAAGACAGGTTGCACTAAGAAGTCACCTGGGATACTCAAGGGAGAACCAAAGAAGGGGTAGGGGAATCAATTGTCTGACAGGTGCATAGTGGGCTGCTCCACAAACAACCCGCACTGCATAGCTTATTTACATGTTAGTTTATCATGTTTCACAAACATATTCAAAGTAAGTAAAGCTGTCTTTTTGTACTGAAGAGAGAGTTCAAATGTATGTTGTGCAAGTATGCAGAAAGACAATGAGTTTTATTTAATTCTCTTACTGTACTCATAGAAGGTACTTTGATCCAGCAGAGGCAGGAGATTGTTTTCAGAGATTCCTCCTTCCACGCAGGTTTCCTTATGACTTCCCACACAGTTATGAAAGGCAAAATTTTAGGGGATGATGAGGGGTTCAGTAGAAAGGAAAAATCAGCAGAATTTGCCTCCTCGTCTGCTATTCATAGAAGCTTGTGCTGGATCAAAAATCAGTGAGTAGACTAGTACCACTGGATGTAACACAATGTTTTGTACACATAATACCTACTTGTTTTTAAGTGATACTATTGCCTTGGCATATGAACTGAACAACAAAAGCATTCTATTTCAAAACTAGAAATTTACCTGCTATATAAGTTATCCCATATGTTTTGAGGTAGCATTACTACTAGGTCCTCTATAGAAGTAGCCTTGTGTGGAGGAACTCCTGTGGAAATGAAGAGGTTTCACTTGAATAGTGTTGCCATTCTAAGTATTAACCAAATATTTAAATAAAGCATATATTTCAGTAAGTCTATTTCAGTGGAGTTGAATACAATAAAAAAGTCAACCTCTGACTCTGCAAGTTGAGCAGTTTAAGTCATCTGAAGAAATGTGTGTAATCGCTTTCACTTGCAACTAAATGGGGAAATAATTGCATTTTGAGTTCATATCTAGCATTAGGTCAATAATCTGTCTACAAAATCTTATTCTTTTGTCTTAATTTATGGAATAGTCCTCAAATTTCAGAACATAAACAAAAACAAATTCTGAACAATTACTTGGTTTCAATATGCCCCAACCACAGAGGAAGATCTTTAATTTCCACCGGCCCCACCATGGCTACAGCCCCAGGCCCTTCCAAAATGTTCCAGAAATAGTTTCAACCTTTAGAAAGTTGCAAAAGTCTACTGCCAGAAAAGTGTATTATGTGTAATATAAACTTCCTCATGCCACTTTATTTCAAGCCTCAGAGCCAAACCTGGATACAGTTCATTAGCAACCTTGAACAAATAAGCTATGCAGTGTGAATTATTTGTAGAAAAAATCATAGTGCACCTGAAAGATGCACTGTAGCTTGTTCTCCTCCCCTTCCCTGTGTCTTCCAGCTAGTTTTCCAGTGTCCTTCACACCACATCCTCTTATCTCCCCTCTGCCTTTGATTGCTACCCCTTTTGGTTCACCACTTAATTTTTTTAAATCTTCCAGAGCTTCCAAAAAACTCAATTGGGGTCATATTTCTGTCCTTCCTCCTGAAACTGTATATTTGCATTTGTCATATGTCTTTTTTGAGGGGGGGGGCTTAGTCTTTCATAGGTGTTCAAGTGATATCTGATCTCGGTTATCTGATATGTGTAGTCTTGCCTCGTCAATGGCTTTTAAGTTTCAGTTGTCAAAGGAACCAGTAAAGAGGCATAGGTAACATACATGGAAAATGAGAAGGCAAGACTGCATAAAAGTACTTTGGCCACAATTGCTAGCTCTTAGTTGAAAAGCAAAGAAGAAAAAACCACAAACAGTAAGTGTATCAGAAGGGGTTAATATCATCCATTAGTAATGTAATTCTCCGGCTTTTAAGTGTTGAACTTATATTTCACTATGCCCATCACCTTTTCAGTGCTTTCTAGAGACTCCACTTATGCCACAGAAGGGAAATGGTTAATAATCCCACGTATTTGACAACTTTCCCTTTCACTGCAAATATTGTTACAGTTACTGTGGTTTCCTGACAATTCTAAAAATGCACATTTTGGGTTGAATGGGAAATAGATACCAGTAACAGGGAAATATACTGAAATATAATGGCTGAGAAGCAAATGGAGGCAAAATTTTAATGAAGGTGTACACATTTTTTCTTTCACTGTACTGCTTTTAAATTGGTCCAAATTTCACCTCCATGTACCTATTAAATTTTTGCATATTTTTCAGTCCCAAAAATAGCAAATATTGTCAACAGGTTTAAGAAAAGAAACCTTAGAGGTGGCAAATGAATGTAGCAAAAGGGGTACTAGAACCAGTAGTACTTACACCAGCCTCCCTCACAGGGGCCCATTCAGCCACCTCTTCAGGGTTTACTTAGAACAGTTAGAGATGAAGGATGATAAAAGTAAACTGACAAATAACCAAAGTCAAATAAAACAAGTTTTCAGGGCAAAAAAATGAATTTTCATCTTCACATAATTGTATTCTCACCTCCATGTACGCAAAGGAAATCATTATTTGAAATTGGTCCTGGCTCTGCAAAAGTCCTATATTTATTCAACCACTGTCGGGAAATGTAAAATTGGAGCAGACTTGGTTCCATTACATTAAAGCTTGATACCCTCTGTCTCTCTCTTTTAACTTCTTCATTGCTTTTTCTATTGAAAAGAGGCAATATTAAGGAATGTTAGTACATTCTTCTTAACATTATCAAGAAGCATTCAGATGATTATGATGAAGAAAACAAAACATTTTTATTCAAATGCTTGTTAGAAACTACTTATAACTTTCTTATTCACTTATCTTAAAACACCCAATGCAAAATTCCACAAACACACTGATAATTCTTCAGATTCATACTGCTTTGAGTAACTGCAAGCGAGCAGCTTTATCGAATGATGTCCAATGAAAATTCAAATTTTCACAGTATGACTGCTACAGCTTACTGGAAAGGTCATTCAATTTAAAAAGACAAGACAGAATTCAAATTTTAATTTATTCCAAGTAAAAATATTTATTAATAGTAAGCTATTATTTTGCAAATCTGCATAGAATAACATGGTAACTCATATGTCTGTCTTGCATAAATGGGAATCTATTTTAATTGCATGATCCAAGCTGATACAGCCCTGATACAGATTGTAAATGAATTCAGTTATAATAGGCTACAACTTTATTTATTTATTATATAAGTATGTTTCCCCATAACCCAAGGGCTCTCTGAGTGGCTCTGCAATATATCAGAATATATGCATTTAGCGCCACTATCTTGCTGCCATGTTTTAGAAAAAAAATATTTGGTTCACCATACTAGCTTTTCAAAGTTCAAATTTCTTGGTCCATTTATAGAATTGCTTTGCTTTTTAGACTAGGAAAATAATTTTTTCATCTGATCCAGTTCACATTTGAAGAAAACCTCAGTGATCATGCGGAAAGATAAGTTTAAAGCTACCACAGTAAATCTCCTTGTTCTTCAGTTCCCAACTGCTGAATGGCCAAAATTCCATCTCTTGCAATAATTTTATTTGACTCAAGAATATACCTTTTTTTCTACAGAGAAGCATTTTATATGAAGCCAAGCTTTATGTTTTAGATCACAACTGCAGCTGATCATCTAGCAACTGGAAAACATTAGCCAGTTCTTTTCCACCTCCTACTAAGCCTTATGCAGAACAAATTTAAGAACGTTTTGTACTTAGCTGTTGTTATTAGCTCCTAACAAGAAGAATCCTTTCTGTTCACAAGAAGCATTTAATCCAACAGAGGGATCACACAGGCATATGGGAAAGTGGGAGGTGACACTTGGTGATTCCTCCCCTTTGCTCAACTGCTTATTGCCTTCAAAACTTCTCCACTGATGGATCCCCAACCCAGCAGGGCAGATTTTTGGAAGACACAAGCAGCTGTAGGGAACTGGCAAAAGTTGTCATCTTCCTCCCCTTTCTGTTGGGGGGAAACTTCTGCCAGAAAGAGTAAAGTCTGTATCCAGCCCATGATTCCCCAATTTCTTCATCTTGATTTCTCACCTGTAGAAAAGAACATAAGCTTCTGCATTTTGAACAGTTGATTCTGTTACTTCCGTGACACTCTGATCGTCAAACTCATACCAACGATTATTTAAGTTGTTCCGGCAGTAAGCTATATAGTGTCCATCTAAACACAAGGACAATTAGAAAATGTTCAGCCCAAGAGCTACAAGCCAAGGAGTTTCTAATATATTTTAATATAACCCCTGCATTCCACAACAGTTACATAAAATCCTGGACCATGCAACAACTTGAAAGAAAACTCACTGATAGCTGTTCCATGGTGGCAGATGACTGATAAGAGATCATACATCATTATTTGAGCTGGACTGTCCTTAGCAAGAAAAGGTTGTAGATCAAGTCCTTCCAAGGGAAAGGATACATGAGTCCCAATTTTTGTGGAAAACATAAGATCATGTCTGAATCGTTTGAGATGAATACATAAAATCTGTAAAGAAGAATTGACAGGATCACTTGAAAATTGTTTACCTCTCATTTGAGTGTTCCATTACAAAGCAATTTTAGTGTAATTGTAATTTCTTCCTTATTAAACTGCTATTAAACCTTCTTCCACCTTCTCATTACAAACTGTGATTCTCATGGGGCTGTTTATGAAAGAAGCTCTTTATTCTGCAATAGATGGAGAATCATCTAGGAAATATCAGAACTGCTTAAAACATGCTTTGGGGGGGATAGATGCACACTGTTACAGGAAAACTGCACATATCTTTCATTTATGCTTTTTGTTCTATATTTGTACTTTTCTGTTACATATTCATGGAGGAAACTGCAGTTGGTGTGATCTTGGGAAATGGAAGTATGCACTTTTCAATTTTTAAACTAATGTATCTGTGTTTTTATCTGTAAAAAATGTGCAAAATCCCAACAATCAGTCCAAAACAGTATCAGATTGAGTTTTCAATGCTGTGAAAAGTAGTCAAATTCAATTAAGTAATTATTTATATTATCAGTAATATTTCTTTGCAATCTACTGCTGTTATCCTCAGAAGCTAAATAGTGAATGTCCAGTATAAAGGTGGGTTTCCACGACACTTTTGTGGTTTATAACCCACCCATATGGCCATTTAGCTTAGGCCTCCTAATTTACCTAACAGATGATCAGGCATAGCTGGGGTTCCAAACAACCTTGTAGGCCCAAGTGGCTTATGCAATCATGTGACCTAATCATTGACGGTTATTTAGCCAGAAAAGCATATTGCTTACCTGTAACTGATGTTCTTCAAGTGGCCATCTGTGCAGTCACACATATGGGTGCTGCGCCTGCGCAGTGCCTTTGGCCGGAAGATTACAAGCTAACAGTTTTTGGCAGAAAGCTCCCCTCCCCCTCCCCCATGGCCTATAAAGAGCAGAGCGTCCGCCATTTTGTTCAGTCTTTGACAACTGAACATACGCCCCCGTGTGGAAAAAATATTCCTACTGTAAAACGATATCGGTACCCAGAAAAAGGGGAACGTTCAGTACCGACGAAAAATATCCACTCACTGACACTGAGCGGGGCCGGCGGGTGGGTTGTGTGACTGCACAGATGGCCACTCAAAGAACATCAGTTACGGGTAAGCAACCTCCTTTTCTTCATCATGGCCTCTGTGCATCACACATATGGGTAGATTAACAAGCTTACCATATTGGAGGAGGGGAGGTGTCCTCAACGAAGAACAGATGAAAGAACAGCTCTGCTGAAGGAGCAATCTTGTCAAGCCCGAACGTCTAAACGATAATGTTTGGCGAAAGTGGAAGGGTTCGCCCAAGTAGCAGCCCGACATACATCGTCAATCGGTACTCCTGATGCGAAGGCAGAGGAGGTAGCAACAGCCCTAGTCGAATGGCTACGAGGAGCTGTGGGTAAGTCAATCTTAGCCAGTTGATAGGATAAAGTGATAGTATGGACTATCCACTTAGAAAGTCTTTGCGGAGTGACAAGAGCGCCCTGATCTCTGGCAGCATATTTAACGAAAAGTCTATTTGAACGCCAAATAGATTCCATCCTAGATCTGTAGAAGGCTAAACAGCGCTGAACGTCAAGTGAGTGCAATGATCTCTCTAGGGGAGTCGACGGAGATGGAAAGAAGGCTGGCAAATCGATATCTTGTCCCATATGAAAAGGAGTGGACACCTTTGGGAGAAAAGATGGATCGAGCCGCAGGACGACCTTTTCTCTATGAAAGTTGAGGTAAGGTGGGTCTACGCGGAGAGCGCAGGGCTCACCGGCCCTTTGGGCTGAGGTAACCGCTACTAGAAATGCTGTCTTCCACGAAACAAGACGTAAATCGACTGTTGCTAACAGTTCAAAAGGAGCTCTTGTAAGCGCTTGCAAACAACAGAGAGACTCCAGGTAGGCATTACTGGCCTGATCGATGGATTCAGATTATAAAGTCCCTTCAGGAACCTTTTAATAGCAGGTTGAGAAAAGATGGACACTCCATCTAGCATGCCACGATGATAGGCGATTGCCTCTGTATACACCTTAACTGAAGATGGTTTCAGTCCAGAGTGGTGTAGTTCTAAGAGGAACTGGAGAATTTGGTGTCTCAATGATGTAAGTGGAGAGAATGAACGAGACTCGGCAAAGGTAGAAAATCTTCTCCATTTAGCCGCATAAGACTTCTGTGTGGAAGGCTTTAGAGCAGAATCCAAGATGTATTGAATGTCCGGATGAAAGGTTGGCAGATTCGATGGAGCAATAGTTGGGTCCGACAGTGCTGAAGCAGCGCCGACTCCAGCGGATTTGAAGGTTGCAAATGTAGCGGATTCGAAGGTAGGATTCGAACCACTTGAAGTAGTCGACGGTATAAGTCAGTTATCGGATTCGCCACGCTGTTAGTTTCAACGATAGTATATCTGGGTGACAAAGTGCACCGTCCTGCTGGGTTATGAGGTAAGGAAGCGGTGAAAGATGAAGGTATTACCCGTGAGAAATGTCCAGTAATGTGGGGAACCAAGGTTGGCGTGGCCACCAAGGAGTAATTAGTATCCCCGTGGCCCGATCGCATACAATCTTCGCTATGACTCTCATTACCAGAGGAATCAGTGGGAAGGCGTAAAAATTCAGGTTGTTCCATGGGATCATGAAGCCATCCCCTAGGGATTCACACCCGATTCCCGCTCTCGAACAGAAAGTCGCACACACCTTGTTCTGTTGGGTGGCGAACAAGTCCACGTCGGGAAACCCCCAGCGATGAAAAAGGTCCTCGCGTGTCTGGAGATCTAGTTCCCATTCGTGAGAGATGAGCATGCACCTGCTGAGAAGGTCCGCTTCCACATTGTCCGTACCGGCCAGATGGACTGCTATCATCGTAATGTCTTTCGAAATGCACCAGTTCCAGATCTGCATAGAAAGTCTGGCCAGGGTCGGAGATTTCGTCACACCTTGTTTGTTCAGATAAAAAATGGTGGCTATGTTGTCTGACATCATCTGAACGACCCGATGTTGAAGAACATCTTCGAAAGGGCGTAGGGCTTTGAATACGGCCAACAGTTCCAGGAAGTTGATATGATTCGTGGATTCCCGACAAGTCCACGTGCCCTGAGTATACAGGCCGGTAGCATACCGCTCCCCAACCCAGAAGAGACGCTGCAGAGGACGAAGTCGCAGTCTGGCGTGTGGTACCACAGCAACAGCAGAAGCCATATGTCCTAGAAGCCTCTGGATGGACTTCACTGGAACCAATCTGCCTCGTCGCATTCGACGGACATGGCCAGCGAGAGTCAGTTGTCTGTCCCAAGGGAGGAATGCCTTTTCCAACGTCTAATCCAAGTGGGCTCCAATGAATGTAAGCCTCTGTACCGGAAGGAGAGAAGATTTCTCAATATTAATGCATAGGCCCAGATCGTCCAATAAGGCACAGGTAATACGGATAGAAGTGAGGAGCGCTTCCCTGGACCTGGAGACCAGGAGCCAGTCATCAAGGTAAGGATAAACTTGTATGCCCTGGAGGCGTAGGTAAGCACAGACAGGGGCCATGCATTTAGTGAACACTCTCGGAGCGGTGGCCAAACCGAAGGGTAGAACCATGAATTCGTAGAAATTTGAGGCAACAGCAAAGCGAAGGAAATGCCTATATTTGGGATGGATCGCAATATGGAAAGAGGCGTCCTTCAGATCCAATGAGGCGAACCAATCCTCTCTCCTTAGCAGCGGCAAAATATTTTGGAGGGTGGTCATTCGAAACTTCCTTGTCACGATGAATCAATTCAAACTACGTAAGTCTAAAATCGGATGTAGGCCACCATCCCGTTTGGGAACTGTAAAATATCTAGAATAGAATCCATGAAGTCCATCATATTGAGTTAGTTGACGAATCGCTCCTTTACGAAGAAGTTGTTGTATTTCATCGAGCGATACCAGCGAGCGTGATGTTAACCGGATCGGACTCGATGGAGGGACGGTGTCGAATTCTATCCTATAGCCGTGCTGTATGATGGACAATACCCACCGATCAGATGTGATGGACTCCCAAATGGGGAGTCAGCTTCACAGCCGGTCCCCAGGTGAGAGGGGAGTGGGTATGGGATAGGTTAGAGGAATAGTTCACCAGTCCCGTCAATGCTGCCTCCTGTCGTCATATCGGCAGCGACCCTGTTGGTAGCGTTGTTGGGGCTGTTGTTGGCGGCGTTGTTGTTGTTGCTGCTGCCTGTGCGGAGGCTGTTGCCTAGGATGGTAAGGCTGTCTGTATGGTGGACGGGTCCATGCCCACTTACGCCTCAGTTGCGACTGGAGCTCCATCCGTCGGGCCATCATGTGGGACTCATGAAGTTTTTTGAGTTTGTGATCCATCTTTGAGTGGAAAAGCCCGGACCCATCAAAGGGCATTTCCTCGATTCAGCGCTTGGTCTCTTCAGGGAAGTTGGCGCTCCTTAGCCACGCATGCCTGCAAAGGGAGACAGCACCGACCAAGGCCCTTGAGTTGGTGTCCACATAGTGCCTGGCTGTGGACAGCTGTTGGACTGCGACGTGCATCGCCTCCTTAATTAGCACCTTGGCCAGGTCGCTCTGGTGGTCTGGGAGGGCCGAGACAACATTGTGGGGGCGTCGCATTATATAATACTGGTATCTCGCCAATGTTGCCTCGTAGTTCGAGATACACAGTCCCAAGCCTGAAGCTGCATAGACCCTCCTGGCCAGGGAGTCGATCTTACGATCCTCCTTATCTCGCCTCCCTACCCTGGGAGGACTCCACCACGACCGAGTTCAGCTTGGGGTGGCGGAGGAGGAATGGAATGTCCTCCTCCCAAACCCGGTACATGGCTTCGTACCTCCGTGATGTGGGTTGAGGGTGAGAGGGCAAGTCCCAGGGCTGCATCATCGCCTGCCGTAGGGTGGTGATCAAGGGCAGGACGACGGAGGTGGAATGCTCCCCGCGGACGACATCATAAATTTTATCCGTCAATGGCCCCAGGCGCTGGATGGCATCAATATCCAGAGACTGGACGAGCCTGGACATCAGGTCACCACGACGGCGGGAGAGGTGGAATCGACGTCTGAGTTGGCAGAGTCCGCGCCATAATACGGAGGAGCCGAAGAAGAGGACTCCACCAGCGAGACAGACCAGCTGCTTTCATCCCGGGAAACCGGGGATGCGCGCCTCAGATCCAGTGGCAGCGGGCGATCGCGAGAGCGTGGTGGGGATCGATCTCTCGGTGCGGGATAGTACCCGGTAGAGTATGGCTCGCCCCAAGATGGATAATAGGAGCGACGCCATTCCTCGGATTGCTGTTCCCTGGAGCGACTCCTGAGGGCCCTAGGTGGGGATCCGACCACATCTGCCTCCATTGTGGCCATGGGCATAGGCGTGGGCAACCTAACCCTGTGGGGAGAGTCTTGAATTTCCCCATCAGAAATCGACCCCCGCTAAAGAGGTGGAAGCGGCTCAATGGGGGGGTTGGCCACACGCCGAGGGGACCCTTGAGGGGTGACCCTCATAGCTGCCTGGAGTACCGGCTCGGATGGGGTCGGTACGGTAGCTGCTGCTGGTACCGACGCGGCCTTCGAACCCGAGTCACGGTGCTGTGGCCGCTCCGGATCCTTTGCCTTCTGGGTCGGTTTAGAAGGCTTCTCCTTCCTGGCCTTCTTTGCTGATTTATCAGCATCAGCATGTTTGCGCTTCTCGTGTTTCTTCTTGGGAGAAGCAGGTGGGGCCCTCAGGGCAGAGGCACTTTCATCCGAAGGGCGTGAGGGCGGGACCACTGTAGCCGGGCCAGGCTTCGGAGCAACGACGAGTGGGTCGGACTGCATAAGAGCCCGATCCCACAGGAGCCTCTGGAGGCGGTTCTCCCGATTTTTCCTGGCCTGCTTAGAGAAGGCCAGGCAGTGGGAGCACTTGTCGGTCCTATGCCCCTCCCCCAAGCAGAGGAGGCATAGGTCGTGCGGGTCAGATGGAGACATCTTTGATCCGCATTCCGCGCATTTGCGGAAAGCCACTCGCTGCGCCATCGCAAGAAGAGGAAAAGAGAAGACAGTGCAGAGGGTAAGAATATATTTTTGTTTTTTGTTTTGTTTTTTGTTTTTAATAGAAGAAGGTAGAACGAGATGACAGAACTATAGAACTAACAGGAACTAACAAGAACTATAGAGATAACAAGAGCTAACGAGTATAAAAACTGGGAGCTTAATAAGGAGAAGAAATAGGCCACGAGTAACGGTCAGAGCGATAGTTGAAAGCGGCACGAGGCACAGCGAACGGCAGTCACAAAGACTGAAAAAAATGGCGGACGCTCCACTCTTTATAGGCCATGGGGGAGGGGGAGCGGAGCTTTCCCGCCAAAAATCGTTAGCTTGTAATCTTCCGGCCAAAGGCACTGTGCAGGCGCAGCACCCATATGTGTGATGCACAGAGGCCACAACAAAGAAATGTTCCCCACTATATTTAAGGATAACATCACATGTATGTGTTCATTTCTCAAAGTTTAAATAATGAAGGGATAATTAGCATGCATATAACCACCACAGGGCTTTCATGTAACTCCACATCAAATGCTATAGTTCTCAGACAGCTGAATATCATATATGAAGGATACATAACTGCACAACCTTCAAACAGAATTGAATCCAATGTTGCAACTATAATGGTATATATAAAGAATTGTTTCTCATTTATTTTAGGTGTATCTCATGTTAAAGATTTTACTGAAGAAGTGAGCAAATGCAATTGGATGCAAGCGCATTTCAGGACATCAGCGATGCAGTTATAATTTATTTGCATTGATCTATTGTGTGAAATCAACATTGTCACCTACCTACATTGTTCGTTTTACATATATGTTAAAAACATAGAATACCTCAGGGAAGTGTTGAACTTTGCAGAATTTTACTCCATTCCTTAACCTAAAACAAAGTTAACATTTAGCAAAGCATTAAAAAGGATCTATGCAAACATTAAAAATAATGAAATTTTGTGTAGCATACAATGTCCTGACAATTTCAGAAATGCTGACTAGAAACAAAGATATTCTTTTTCAAAGAGATTCATGGGGTTGCGAAAGATCAGGACCGTCACACACAAAGCAAGAACATCCATATATTTCCTCCATATACTGCATACAGGCAATCAGCTCATGCAGTATAAGCAATCTATTAAACCATTCATTATGTACAACCAAAGCAGTCAGCATATATAGAAAAAGGCAGCCATTTCTTCCATTTCTTAATTATTCTGAAAATCTGTACTGAATACATGTCTGCTAGAGCATAGCTATTGATGCAGAAATCACAAAGTGTCTTCAGTCCAAGCCAAGTAATTATGGGGAAGAGCAAAGTCTCTTAATTGCTTGCTGCAGTAATGCCAGAATGGAAGTGGCTGATATTGAACACCATCCCTAATCATTGGGGTGGGGGTGACAAAAGGCCTCTAACCTCCCGCTCCTGTAACACTCAAACCCAGAGTCATCCCATGAAGCTGATTGGTGGGAAGTTTAGGACAAATAAAAGGAAGTAGTTTACAGAACATATAGTTACACTATGGTGATGGCCACCGATCTGGATGGCTTTAAATGAGGATCGGGCAACTTCATGGGGGAAAGGGTTTTCAGTGGCTACTAGTCACTTTTACCAGAGATGACATGCCTGCATACACCAGTTTCTGAGGAGCTTGGGCAGGCGGAGGTCCTGCATCCATCCTGCTTGAGCAATCCTGTGGGTACCTAGATTGTCACCGTGTATACCAAGTGCTGGACTAGATGGTATGATGCAACATGACTTTTCTTATGTTCAGTCATGTTCAGTCCAGCAAGCTGTGCTAATTTCTTTCAACCCAACTACAGCCCCCAACACTGCATTAAAGGGTATTCCAAAAGATTCCCTAATCCACAGGAACAATCTTTTAGGGGGCCGTAAGCTGCAAATATCTTCCATATTGTGGGCAAACTTCCATCTTGTCTGACAGTAGAAAAGCCTGGGTCAGCACAGAAGATGAACAAAGTATGCCTCAAGAACATCAACACCAATTAATCAACAGCTGTTTGCTATCAGACAGCATGACAAGGCCTGCATTTCAAGTCCTAAGCAGCTTTATGTGCCTGTGGGGAACTGCCAGGCCTCCCTGTATCCCTGCTTTTCAGTAAGTTGCTTAGCTACAGCTAGACTTGCTAGGGTGAGAAACTTTCAGAGAGTTTAGACTGCTGCTGATGCCATGAAACTCTGCAAAGAGCGTATAACTAGGTTATTAGCACTACTCTCCCTCTGTTTGGATACCAATCTCTCAGGCAGTCTTCACTGACCATCCATTCCAGCTGATTGAAGCCTGCTTTACAGTATAGTTAATGCTCTGCATTATAAGTAACTGCTGATAAACTCTTTATAACCTAGGTGACTTGTATTTTGTGTACAAGGAAGAACTTTCCTTATAAGAAAACCTAGACTTTGAATATTATTTTCCTTGGGATTCCCAAAACAAAAACTAAAATGAAACCCAAAAACCTTGAGCACATGGCTGACCATGGCACTACAGGAATCCAGTAGACTGCATGAGAATAAAGTAATAGAAGAACTGAATTACACGAACAGGACTCTTTCCTTTAGTTCCAAGCAAAACCACCTAGAACCTATGGCCTGTAGTATGGAAAGCTTAAAAATGCTATCCCTGGCCAAGATCTAAAGAGTTACTGACGGATGTGAATTCTTGCTCCATATTGAGGACTATACCAAAGCCTCCTCCCCAGTCCTCTTAAATTGTTTTAGGAGGGCTATGAGGAAGGAGAGCTCAAGGAATCCTAAAGTGCACCTCAAAGCACCATTGCATATCTCTATCAATTCATTTGTCAAGACATTCTAAGAATTTGCAGGTGGTATACTAAACAAGAGATACACAACTGTTGCAAAGCATTAGCTATATCTAACTTGAACTGGCCTGATACTCAAGCTGCAGGGTAAAGATTAACTGACATTCCAGGGAAATGGCTGCAAGTGCCAGGTGTTGATTCAAGGAGACCCAGGCACCAAGGCCACAGGATGGCTGGACAGAGCTTGGGAATGCAAAAGAGAGATGCTGTAAATTATAGCCAAGGTCAGGGGAATTTGCACTGCTCAAGAAAGCAGGAGAACGGGGCCAATAAGGGCAATTAGTTCTCACCTGAAATTTGTCATTTGAATTCACTCCATGAGCTATCTGATTAACAAAGATGGATAAAAGGAGCTGAGTAGGCTCATGGTTCTTCAAGGAGAGCTCCCTTGTTGCTGCCAGTGGCTCAGCTGAAGAACACTATGCGACTTTGTATTTGGGAAGAATATGTCTGGTATTGTATTCTGGGTTTAGAGCAAGGCTAGGGAAGTTTTTTATTTTGTTTGCAAGAAGGACCCCCAGGGCTTGCGGGGCTTTGACTGGTTGTAAATTGTGTTTATGCTGCTCTCTATAACTGTAACTTATGTATTTTAGTGGTTTTAGACCCTCCACCTCTATTTGGCAGCCATTGAAATAAAATCCTTTCCTTTCAATGCTTCTTGTTGTGTGCTGAAGCCAGTGTCTGGTCTAGAACTGGGGACCAGGAAGAAATTGTGCACAAAACAAAACTGAAGCTTCCAAATCATACCATCTGTACGACTGTGTCCTGTTTGTTGGCATAACTACTGAATGACAATTCCCATTTTTTTCTTGAGTGGCATGTGAAATTGAGCTGCATGCATATATTAGATTTGGCACTCAGCTGTTTGCTTAGGAGATAATGCCCATTAGTTGGAAGCAAATGCTAACTTTTAATAGCTAATCCTGCACACCTTTACTTGAAAATAGGCCCTAGCAATTTAATCCAAAGTACATTTAAAAGACATTTTAAAACTGATTATTAAAATGAACAGTGATTCTAAATTCTCTCACACACTTATTGATAATCTCACAGCATGCCACACAAAGTGGTAATCCTAATGAATGCCAAGCAATTCCAACAGCTTTTAAATAAGTATAAAAATTTTAAGAATATTTCACTTACTTTTTACACTTTTCACAGCTGTACATATTGTCACCTGTAGACATTGCACACAGAGAAGAATGACCATTATTCTAAAGGCATGAAAATATATCGCCTTTTCCAACAACTTACATCAAAACACTTTTGGTTTTCTTAGATAATAGGCGGCTATCGTGTTTTTGCAACAGTTACATATACTGAATGGTATTAGGTCACCTAGATCTCCTCCCAAATGGTTAAATTTTAAACTGAGGATCCAATAAAGATTATTTAAAATAAAACAATGAAGTCAAAGGAATAACATTTTTCCAATCAATTTTTGAACCCTTGAGAATATTTATTGTCAAGTGATAGTCTACAACAGTATAAGGGAAAAATGTTGCATATCATTTTCTGATTCCACTAAATAGGTGTAAAAATAACACAAGTATGATAGTTGCATGACAGAGAATTTAACAGAAAGGTTGGAAATATTCTTACCTTTCAGCTCATCTCTAGCAAAAAAGGCAGCAAGACAATCTTGTAATGTTACTGTTGGACCCCAAAACCAGCTACGAACACAGGAGACAACAAACCTGAAACATCATTGACAGAAAAACAGCAAATGTTCTGCCAGTATAGCAGAAACATCATATTAAAGAGATCTAAGCTTTGCAGCGGAACAAACCTTTTGAAGTATTCCACAAAAAATGCTATCCATCCTTGAGGAGCATAAGCTTCTCCGCATGACCCTGCCTTGACAAGTGAAGTCTGATGACTTGCAGAATGCAGCTTAGCAAGATCCTCCTTACCTGGAATAGGCAGGGACAAGTCCTGAAAAGTCTCCAGGGTAACTGACACCTATTGTCAAACCAAAAGGAAGATCATTAGGGCTTTCTTATTCTTCAATTGGTCAACCAGAATTTTGTATTTTAAATTTGTTCCTATCTTTTAAATTCGGAATATCATTAATAAAATTCATAAGCAGCTAAATTTAATGCTTTGTTTCAGGAATGCCACTAGATGGCAAACTGCATACAATATACATGCATATACCATTACCCTAGACTAGCAACAGTGTAGGAGCCTGAAAAATAACACTAATTACAAAGGTCTCAAACTAAGCTGAAGAAACTACCAGCACAAAGAACGGATCAACCTCAAGAAATCTGACTGTAATCCATGCATCATTGTATATTACAAAAAGTGGAACCAACAGGATGATTAAGTAAAAGAAGAACTATGAGTCTAAAATGTGCTTCCATGCAAGAAAAAAGAGCTTGTGTACAGCCTGCATGGATGGATGGATGGATGGATGGATGGATATGTGATTTATTATCCTGCCTTTTTCTTACAAAGGGCTCAAGGCAGCTTACATCATTCTCCTCCTCCATCTTATCCCCACAGCAACAACCTGTGAGGTAGGTTGGGCTGAGAGTCTGTGACAGGCCCAAAGTCACCCAGTTGGCTCCACAGGTGAGTGGGGACTAGAACCCAGATCCTCTGAGTCCCAGTCCCATGCTCTTAACCACTACATCACATTGGCTCTCCTTTTGTGACAACCTTATGTGACAACCTTTTCTTTCTTTACCACACTTACCCGATCACAAGTCAGACACTGTACTGAACTTACAATACTCCCATCAAATATGTCAGAAATAATGCTTTTGTATTTTTTGTGTTTCTTCTTTTTGGAGGAAGGCACAGCTGGAACTAATATAAAAGACAACTAAAGTCAGAAAGGGGTCAAAGTAACATATCTCTGTGGCTTATTTTACATTTTTGAAGAGAAATACTAGCAAGACCTAATCAGCATAATCTTTACTACAAAGCCGGCAAAAATTTTAAAGTATACCTTGCTAAGAAATATTTTTTACTGAGCTGGCAGGGCGGGTGGCGGGAGCAGGGAATTAAAGATGTATCCAGTGGTGGCTTTGAACTAGTGAAAAGTGCTTCATTGTCCTTGGAAAAAAGCACAAACCCATACAGTATACTCATTGCAGCCTTCCATAGCATATCTCACACTATTTGAAAGAAGTCAGAACTTTCAGGACCAGTTTTTTGGAGGGGGGCTTGGAGCTTGTAGTGAAAGAGGTGTAGGCAAATATTACCCAGGGGAAAGCAGCAGTGTTTTCAGCTAGTTCAATCCTGTGTATGTCTACTCAGAACTAAGTACACTGAGTTCAGCGGGATTTACTTACAGGCAACTATAGTAGGGATGCAGGTATGCCCACCCCCCCCCAACCCAAATTGATTTTGGATACAAAATCTGTACTTTTCTTTAAAAAGTTCGTGCTTAGAACAACATTCACTTGTTTTTGAATCTGTGCTTAGCCACACAATTCAGTCCTCTGCTTGGGATAGTACTGATGTCTCAATATTCCTTTCACATTTTAACAAAGAACACATATATTCATGCAAAATTCTATTGCATTTTTGGAAACAAATAAAAAGATTTGGAAAAAAGAGGAAGTGCTTATGTTGTTCTAACCTCCCATCATGATGAGATGAGGGAGATAACAGAGCTGGGAAAACACACAGGCAACATTTCAGCAATAATTATTTTCAAGGCTACCCAAAGAGCACAGAAAGACAAATTCTCTTGGGTTTCTAGCTACCTCCAGGGTAGAAACAAATGTACTAAACATCTTATGAAAGGAAATGACATCTTTGAAAGTGTAGAAGTAGTAAAAAAAAAAAAAAAGCCCGCATACATTCTGATAGATTTTTCCTCATTAACAGCCCGAGAATAACTATCTATCTATCTGTCAAGGAAAAAAAAACAAGGATGAAGGATTCAAATAGGGTTTTTTTTGTTTTTGAAAACAAAGGTGCACTTTCAGCCGACAAAATGATGCAACTCCCCAATGCCAAAGCATTCAATAAACAGAAGATACTAAAAGAGTTTGGTCCCTAGGTAAAACTTGTGTGCTTGTTCCACATTTGTGTTATTGTCTTAGTACTTTGTTGATTGACTGGGTCTTCAAAATGGTATGGGCTACAGATACATGGATCTTAATACCAATCTCACCACTTAAATATTTAAAAGATGTTTTAGCATGGCATCTACCAGAGCACAGTGTTATCTTAAGAGACCAAAACACATCAAATCAGTTTCCAATATTAAGAGATAAAGGGAAAATCAGCAAATAAAAAGTGTTAGGAACCATGCAGATTGAGTAGAAATTAAATAGTAAACAGCTGAGACATATTATACCTTTTTTGTGAGAGGGTGCCAATCCAGACCAGAAAGAACCTGATTTGGGTGGACTGGTTGATAAACGTGCATTCCCTCCATCTTTTGAAGGAAAACTTTGTGGCACAGAAACATCATTCATATGGACATCATTGATATAGTCTGTAAAACAAAACTGTATTTTAAAATGGAACTGCCAGCTTCACGAATAATAATGCAGATCATATTTTAGCCACATACAAATTACAAAAGTAAAATGAAGAAGAGGAAGCTTGAAATTAACACAAGCTGCAAAAACTGTTTTCAATTTAGTACTGGATTGAAGAAGTGATAGTGTACCATTCTTGAGAAAACATTGAGACGGTAAGCAAGGCAAAAAATGAGTAACGATAAGACTGTGAATAAAACTGTCACAATGGAAAAAACTGAGATGCCATTATAAAGGAAAAGGTCTGCTTAGAAACCACAGGAATTCCATATTCTGCCACCCCAAAGTTAACTATTATTCAGTGCAAGTGTTCTTCCACATTTAGGCAAAAGCAGCCACTTCCATTGTGATTAACATATTTAGCATCTAAAAACTTTTCAAAATGGACTTTTCAGTAATATTGGCAGGGGTTAACATTCTTGAAATCTTTATGTCAACGTGTGAATATAGAAAATACCTGAAAAAAGTTGAATTCAAAGTCATACATAAAAGAAAGCGAACATAGTTTGCCAGAAATTTTTCTTGTATGCCTAAATTCAGGTGACTACAGAAACTGCTTGCCAGTCTGGGTTCCACCCAATTGGGTGTAGAATCTGTCAAGTCAATGAAAAGTTAGTTATACAATATATAGAGTAAGGGAACCTAGAGAAAGTGGTGACCACACATGCTACTGTGACAGCTCAGCTGAAAATGACTTCTTCCAGACACTCCAGCCATCTATGAACTGAAATCAATGGGATGTAAATTTGTCACACTAACTTAACTGTCATTAATTTAAATGGATCTATTCTAACTATAACTAAACCAGGATCCAGCCCATGATTACTTGTGTTCATTCCTGGTCCAGCTCAGAAGTGCTTCCTCACTTCATTCACTGATTGCTTTGCATTCTTTAAGTCTTTTCTTTATTCCATTGAGAGAACAGACATATGCTAACACTATTTATATAAAAATGCTGCAGACTATAATGATCCTTTTCAACAAAGTTGCATATAGCAACATAAATGTTCCTCTGTCCATCACTCCAAATTCAGCAACAAATAAAATATTCCATCTTCTACAAGTCCTAAGTGGGATTTGAATCATTTGAATTATATGTTAAAGCAAATACAATGGTAACCCAAAATCTTGAAAAAAACAAAACAAAAAACATGCTGGGTAACCTTAGAAAAAAGCCAATTTTAAATGCATGTCACATCCAATAATAGTCAGATAATCACCTGAGTATCGACTGTGAATTTGCACCTTCACTGTTTCCTGGCTATTCCAGAATTCAGCTGTTTCAAAGAAACTGTTCAGATCTTTTTCTATGTCTTCTAAAGAACTAGCTCTATTCATCTTGGAGCACAAGGATTTCTCGTTCTGATAGTCTTTAGATGCATTGTCATCATCTGCAATTAACATAGCATCTTCTGCATGGTCCTCTGCCACAACTTTTGACCAAGTCTCATTTTCTGTCTTATCACATGACTGAAAATCGACATCTGGTTGGTTTCGTTCTTCTTCCATGCACTCTTCTGCATTTGGTGGGTTAGCATCCTCTGTTGTAATAACAATTTCCTTTAATTCTTCATGTAACAAATCCATTAAACAACGCAGAAATTCCTGTGCATCCTGGAATTTAAAATGGAATGTGAAACTTGCTTTATTCAGATATGCATTTTAAAAGTGTTAGCTATTAAATAAAGTTAAAAGCCAGCCTGATGTTGAGGGTTCCTGAAATGGAAAATATTTAGCTATTTTAATGTTACAATGCTGAACACTTTCCTCTATAAATATTTGTTATATTATATCCCACTTGAGTTACAAGGAACTCAAGATGACTTATACTATCTTCTCAACAACAACCCTGTAAAGTAGGTTAGACTGAGAGTCTGCAACTTGTCCAGTTACCCAGTGAGTTCTGTGGCTGAGTGAGGACTAGAACCTGGAACTCTCAGATTTCCAGTCCAACACTCTAACCACTACACTACACTGGCTCTATATATACAGTTGAATATAATTTTCCCACCCCCTTCTTCTTCCTTCCAAGAGCCCTCCCTGCAAATGCTTATTTCAAGAGTCAGGAGACCTTGCTGAATTTGATAGACTGTGGTACAGAAATAAGGAGAACAGAAAATTCCTCAAACACTGGGTAGAGGCTTCACTCAATGGGGATCTGGAATCCTCTTCTGGCACCACAGCCCAGCTCCTTCAACAGTCTCTGATTCTCAGACAGTACTTTTGAGAAGCGGGGGGGAGGGTGCAAGAGGAAGAAGAAGACAAGAAAGTAGCATTCCACTAGTCTCCCTCCCTTTGTGCATGAATGAATCTTTTCTTGGACTAGGGATGAAGTTAAGCTCCTTTGTCTTACGATCTTTACATTCTAGAAATTGGAATCTATCACAAATACTTATTTTATACATTCAGAGGGAAAACTGACTGTTTTAGAGAAAAGAAATCCAGCAATTAGCCACTAAATATGAGCAAAAAAGGACGAATTTAATTAAAGTTATGTTGCTTTCCACAGCACACAACCATGACAAGCATCTTTTATCTAATTTGTTGTTCATATTTTAGCCTGTAATTTTATCTCCTGGATCTTCCTACAATATTCAATAGCAGCATGCAAAGAAAGTTTTTTTTGCGGGGGGGGGGGTGGAAGGCTTACCTGTTGGGAATAACCTCGAAAAGTTGGATTAACTGTTTTGATTCCTTGAAATAGATTTGTGGGGACAACAGCCCCTGGCCTGGAAAAAAATGTAGATTTAAAATTTCTCAAACTGCCTAGAATGTTTCAGTTTATCAATATTCAAACAGCAATGGCTTCTAAGCATGCAAATCAGAGTAACTGCTTTAATTTGTGCAATCCTGTGTATGTCTACTCAGAACTAAATCCACTGAGTTCAGTGGGACTTACTCACAGGCAACTATAGTAGGGATGCAGATATGCCCCCCCCCCCCACCCAACCCAAACTGACTTTGGGTACAAAATCTGTACTTTTCTCTAAAAGTTCATGCTTAGAACAACATTCACTTGTTTTTGAATCTGTGCTTAGTCACACAATTCAGTACTCTGCTTGGCATAGTACTGATGTCTCAATATTCCTTTCACATTTTAACAATGAATACATATATTCAAGCAAAGTCCTGCTGATTCACTTTTGCATTATACAATTGTGTGAGCACTTTTTAAAAAATAATGCAATGAGACTACAGCTATCTTACTTGCCACAGACTTCGATTTCAAGCCAAACAAACAAACTTCTATTTGTGAGTTTCCAGAATCAACTTCCTATTCACTGATGTAACCACAGTGCTGGACTAGATATACTTTAATACAATGAGGCGGTTCTTTTTTCTTGTGTTTTTAACTGGTATACAAGTCAGCTTGAAAGTTTAACAGTGTAAACCTCATGTCTACTCAGAAATAAATTAACTGATTTGATGGGATTTGCTCTCAGGCAACTGTATATGATTGTGGACTAAGAAATTTACTGTACTGAGAAGGCTTAAATCATTGTGCATTGTCTTCTTTATGCTTGTTACTGCTTTAATAATTGTTGCCCAAAACCTAAACATTGAAAAAGTGAGTGGTCTATCAAAAGTTCCCATTCAAGCTAAAGACCAATCTTATGCAATCAATCATCCAAATTCAAATTAATATAGTACAGACAGCCCCCAGATTACAAATATTCAGGCTACGAACAATCCATGTGTATGAACACGCAGACTGCCATAAACCCTATATGAATACCTCTAGAAAAAGAGGTAAACCCCTGACTATGCAGCACCAGGTCCATCTCCATCATCATCAGTTAATGTTAGACTTAATGTTGCCTCAAGAATGTTCTAAATTGTTTTAAGAACCTTTTTTTTACGATACTGTATAGCTACACACACACATCCAGATTCTCTCTCTTCAATACCTGTACTTACTTATTACTGTATTATTATCATTATTATAATGCTGTATTGTGTTTAAGATGTTTTAGTGAATATGGAAGTGTTTTATATGCACAGAAAGCTTACACACAGAGAGAAAACATTTGGCTTACTCATCTGATCCAACTTACATTCAAATTTGACTTCAGGACATTCTCAGGAATGGAACTTGTCAGATGTTATGTGAGCAGACCTCTCAAATAATGGAACTTCCCTGTCCTCTCCTCCCCCTGTAGCCCTCACACATATCCCTAAAATGTTCTCTGAATAGTGCTCAAATCCTCCTGAGAGGATTTGATGGGGGCACTGTGACTGCAGGGACAGGAAATCCCCTCCACTGTTGTATGCCATTTTTTCAGTGGACAAAAACAACTGGCTGGTAAGGGTGGAATCCTATGGCACCTGGCATTGTCCAAGGAGTCATAGGATGGCTTGTAGTCCCAGCTCCAACCTCAGAAAATCACTCTGAGGTTGAAAGCTAGGACTATACCTTTGAAGAGCCTTCCCTCATGCCTTCACAGCTAGCATGGACTGTGGCTCCCAGGATGGAGCACTGTTTAGTCAGTCAGTCAGTCAGTCAGTCAGTTAGTAAGCTTCTATGCCACCCCATTTGCCGAAGCCTCGGGATGACTTTTTGGAGCTGTGGAAGGGGAACTGAGGAGGAGTGAAGGACTACCATCCTCCAAAGAATCCCAGCAGTGTCTGAGACTGCTTCTGACTGGGGGAAAGACATTTAGATGGCTGAAATCAGATGTCAAAATGTTCTGGAGGGACAGCAGACTACAGAGACAATTCTAGCTTCTGTGCTCCTTCTGTCTTCCACTAGATATCTGTAATCTCCTGGAAGGATTACAGGCATCCACACTGGGGGATGACCTTTGCTTTTTATCCATGTGCATTATACACATTAGATCATCACAATAAAAATTACTGTAGTGTCTTAACCCACTATGTAATTCAATAATCAGAAAAAGTAAAAACAAGTTACTAGCAAGATCCCTTAAGTTTATGTATCATAAAAAGCCTAGTATTATTTCATATATCTCCTATTATACAAACACTGAAGAACTCTAAAACTGTATGCAGCTCACTACTCAGAAAGTACCCTCCTGAAGACCTAAAGGAAAAAAAAAGCCACTAGAGGCCAAATTCTAGAAATATGTTAGAATGAAAGTGGCACAATACCTGTTTTTATGCCAGAGTTCTGTCATGAGTTTGTAATAGCTTCTGCAAATTGCTGGTTTTTTATCAGTCCGAGCTAAGCTCCCACAATCAAGGAAAAACTGGGTCAATGGGGGACTAATAAAGGGAAAAAAAAAAGACCACTAATATTTTATAGCAGTGTTAGTTGTATCCGTACTTATTCAGCCCCAATTATAGCATACAGTTCTGCCCCATACCAGACATTCGTTACTAGTGAAAGTCATTTAAAAGGCAATCCTAAGGCATGTATTCAATGGGGCTTACTCCAAGGTAAGTGTTTGTCAAATTGTGACCTTAGTAACTTCAATGAAGTCAATAAGATCATGTTTCTACTTTGCCTATTTGCTTCATATGTTACCTATGTAATGGATTAGGAGAAAGGTATTTTTTCCACTGCAAACAGTTCTAACATCTGACAAAGATCAGTCTTTTCTTTTGGCACAATGCCAATGGTTGCAGGCATGTCAGCTACAGGGACCTGGGTCACCAATTAACACACTACAAATGTTTAATTGCCAACTTAAACATTTATGCTAACTCTTCGCTTTGCACTAGATGAATTAAATTAATGAATGAATTAATGATAAATGAAATTAAAACACCTGGCATAAAAATGATTTGGAGCAGAACTTCACTAGAAGTTTGAAATAGTAATAGGTTCATTTTCATTTACTATTTGAAATACATTAATAATGAGAGTTACAAAATGATGCACTGCCTTTTCAAAAAAAATCCAAGAAAAATAATTGGTGAGACCTTTTCTATAACTTTACTTTTGAAACTTTTATTGGGCAGGAGAATCATCACAAATTTGAATATGCAGTGGTACCTCGGCTCACGAACTTAATCTGTTCCACGACTCTGGCTGTGACCCAAATTGGTCATGAGCCAAGTCTAATTTCCTCATAAGGTTCAATGTAAATAAGGTTAATCCATTCTTATTAATATTTTTTATCACAAAAATTTGAAACAAAGTAACAAAGTACAGTACAGCAGAGAACACTAACCTAGGTGGGAGGGAGGTTATTGTTTAGAGGGAAAGTCCAAACAATCGTGCAATAGTTATTGTGCTGGGGGGGGGGGATGGCCACAATCGCGATTTCACCCGTCTTCCCTGCACAAGCACAATCACAATCGTGCTTGGGGGGTAGACGGGCACGATGGTGATCACACTCGTGCAGGGAAGACGGGTGCGATGGCGATTGTGCGGGGAAGATGGGCGCGATGGCAATTGCACTTGTGCAGGGAAGACGGGTGTGATTACGATTGTGCTCGTGCGGGAACATGGTCATCACCCAATGCAGAGTTCGCAAACTGAGGCAAATTTTTTCTGAAATTTAGAATGTAATTATTTATCCCTCGCAATGAATAAATAAGTATTTAACTCTGTCCCTGGGAATAACCATAGCTTAAAAGTTTCCCACATAACATGTAAAAATGCTCTAACAGAGGTAAATATGTTTAAGAGTTTCAAAAATCCACTATTCCTTGCTCTTGGAGCCACAATATTCTGAAGCTCTTCTGACAATCAGTGTAATCGTCATAAATTTAGCAAGGTATATAAGATTCATACTGTTTAATTTAACTTGTGAGTAGGGGAGCTTAAGAAGGGTCTTTAAGGATGATGCTATCAGTATGGACATTCCTAGATGCAAATTGTATATAGCATGCAGCCAAACTGTATGATAATTCTTATATAAGAAACATTATATACAGAATCCGAAAAAGGGTAAATTCAGTTCCTGTTAGAAGACATTTGCAGAGGTATTGATCTTCATTTAAACCCTAAGGCTTGTTGCTGATGTGGAATTTTTGATTGTTGAAAAGGAGTACTGCCCTATACAGTGGACTGTGTGCTTACCAATTTGAGAGAGCTTGTAAAGCTGCATTCATGTAACAAGTATTTCCAATATTTTTCAAACCTGTCAGACCTGCAAATATGAAAAAAAACATCATGGCAAAAATAGCCTATAATATTTTAGGATAATATATAACATTTATATTATAATTATATAAATATGTATATAATTACATAATTATAATTAAATATATCATATTTATAATATATAAAGGGAGAAGTCTTCTTTCTTTGTATAATTGTCTCAACTCATCTGCCAATTTTAAATGAATGACCGGAATTTGTATAAATTCTCTGTTTTATCTTTTACTAGCTCACAATATCTGATGAATGCTATTAATTCTGCTCATTGTGATAAAAGAGAGCTTGTGTGGATGTTTACTTTGTATCATGTCATGCAGAGAACAAACAGCACAACCAACTTTCAATGTTTTTAACCTGATTTGCATACAGCAACCACTAGAAAAACGAAACTTTCAGAAACTGCCCTTTCAGTTTCTTGCACCTGATTTTAGTGGTTTCTAAGTAGTTTAATGAGATATTGGAAACTGGATATTGAAAACCATTCTGGGATGATACACATAATGCTGGTAAATGGTTGCTGTACAATAATAAAAAAACCATGGAATTTAATAAATATGCAATCTAGGTCTTCCTATGGGTACCAATTCCTCAAGGTGGCATCCGGCGGGGGGGGGGGGTTCTGTGGTGCCTCCCACTTTGGAGCAACCTTCCTGCTATAGCCTGCCAGGGGCCAAACATGTCATCTTTTTGGCATCTGGTTCAGGCAGCCCTCTTTGTGAAGGCCTTTAAAGACTTTCTTGGTCATCTAGGGACCTGATTGGTTTATCCAGGTGCCTTTTTTCCCCCTTCTCTCTTGGAAGGGTCTTTTCATTGTATATAATGGATTTAAATGCTAATTAAATACTATTTTAATTAATTTTAAATCTTTTAAATGTTGTTTTCTAAATTGTATTTTTTAGTTTTTATATGCTGTCGATGTAGGCATATGACTCCCCATGAACAGGAACAGAGTCTCCTGTCAGTGGGCCATAGTGATGAAAACCACACACCTATATATGTCATCTGTGCAGGACTGCTATTGACTTGCATCCTGGTGAGAGTGACTTCCTGGCTAGAGTCGGGTAGAACAACAGCCCTGGGAAATGCCAAGGTTTTAAAGTTTTTTTCTTTGAGTTTTAATCTATTTTTACCTGCCTCATCTTACAGTTTTATCTACCTTATCTTACTTTTCCCTCCTTTTTTGTTCTGAAAGAGGACTTTTTGCTGTAGCTATTTTACTTTATTTTACTCTGGCAGCTGTGAGTCTGGGATACTGGCCAAGCTCAGATAAGATTATTCTGTTAGCTGTTATATCCTTCTCAGAGAGCACTGATTCCTAATTTTAAAAAGAACTAGCACACTTAATATAAATACTAAAGAGAAAATCCATGTTTGGTAAATCCCAAGTTAAAGTCTCATTAAGGTTTTCCATTAAATTTTCATAAGTCATCTTTACATAAGGATGAGTTTTGAATAATATCCGTAACAACAGTGGTTGGCAAAGTAACAGGACTAAACCCTGTTCACATCAACTGATATGTAAGTGATGCGATACATTTTGTTTTTTCATTTGGTTTTTTTTTTTTTAACGCGTCCAATACCCAGTGGGTCTCAGGAAGGCTTACGATTCAAATCCCATAAATACATAGATACCCAAATAATCCACAAACTGAGCATAAAAACATAGTTAAAATTAATCATTAAAAGTACGGAAGAATAAAAAGGTCTTGACCTGATGCCAAAAAGCATATAAAGTTGGCGCCAGGCAGACCTCTCTGGGGAGTGCATTCCATAGCCAGGGCGCCACCATGGAGAAGACCCTCCTCCTAGTATGTTCTCTCCTAACCTCCTTCAAGGAGGGTTCCAGAGCAGGACTTCTGCTACAGATCTTAAGGGGCAGGTGGGCATGTAGGGAAAAAGATGTTACTTTAGGTAGCCTGCTCCCAAGCCGTTTAGGGCATTATAGGTCAATAACAGCACCTTAATTTGGGCCTGGGCTTCAATGTTAGACCCCCACCGCCATATCTTCCCCTACCAATTACCATCCCAATGGTGGTGCCCTCACGCTCCCCAGACACACCCACACCAAAATTAAATTTAAAACATGTGATACAGCACTTCAGAAACATATGACCACCAGCAGTACATCCAGTTTATAAATTCCACTGATTTAAAATTAAATTTCTTTAAAAAAAAACACTGATTAAAATATTTAAAAGTGAAACATTTTGATATAAAGTACCAGCTCAGTCACAAATAGGATCAATACAATATAGGGGATTATAATACCACTTAAAAGCTCATGAAAATGTATGTATTTGATATGGCTTGGCTTTTAAGTGGCAGTATAACATGATCCTATTTGTGACCAAAACTGGTGTTTTACAGTGAAATATTTCACACTCTAAAATCTCTCTATATATGTATATATTAAATGTTAAAACTGTAACACTTAATTAAAAATAAATGAAACAGCCTAATTTTTTATTTAAAATGCTGTTACAGCATATGTTGCACTTACTGCAGGAGGTTCTGGAGGGTATTTCTATTCTGCCATTGGTCACATTCTGTTAGAAAATATGGGGTGCCCATGGAGCACCATACTGGTCTGATAACTTCAAAGCAAGCTAAATATGGCCCATCCTGTATTCTGTAGTGCTAAGACTACATTTTTGTTAAAAATTTGGGGAGGGGGATTGGCAGGGCTGGCATGCAGACCTTGCACTGCTCATCCATGACTTACAGAGTAAAAGAATACCATCATCAGACTTCTGAAAATTACAAACTATATTGCAATATTTTAAATCAGTGATATTGATGGTTAACTGCTACCACCAACTCTTTCAGATGCATGCACGCACACACACACACACACACACAGGCAGGACAAATATATTTAACATCTGAAAATGTGTATTTAATTTGCACTGCTACAGATCCAAACTACAGGGTTGGACCCAAAGAACTATAACATGAAAGAAAGGAAATAACCACTAGCACTATTTTGTAAACACTAAAGAGGTTCACAAAACTCCATAATTTGTGCTGTGAGCCTTTGACTATGGAGCGGCTTACAAATGCAATAATTAAATAAATGGTATGTTTAAAGTGGTTCACATACTTCTGCTTGTATGGAGGCTGACCATTCTTTAATTCCATTGTTTGCATAACATTGTGATGGAACAGGTAAAAAGGTCCATCCATGATGGACTCCTATCATGGACAAGACACTTTCGGAACTAACTTTCCATTTGAATATTGTTTTGAAACCACTGATGAGAAGTAATTTCAACAGAATAGACAAGCCATATTAACCACTTCTATAAATTAAAAGCATTACCTCTAGCCTTGAATTCATCTTCTTCATCTACCTGTATATCTAGGTCATCAAATGTTGCAATTAGAGGGATTTTCAGTGTTGAGATACTAGGAAACCTAATATCCTTTAAGAAAAATAAGAAGTGAAATGTAAGCAGCATTCTTTGCAAATATTATAACTTTTCACTGTATTATTTATATTATTGTAAAAGAATGATTTACATGCAAAGCTCAAGGTTTACTGATAGGTAAATATAATCTGCTGTAATGAGATGATAAACTGTAAACTATAATATAGGATTAACACATAGCACTGCACACACAAGGCTTCCACAGTAGCACCCATACATTCCTTATGGTTCCCATTTCTCTCACCAGATGGCTCAATATTTTACATAACTAGTTTTGTGTACAGAATAGAAGCCTGTTTCTAAAAAGGTCAAGGAGATTAATACAGCAACATCTGAGAAATAAGAACAATGAGCAAAAATAAACAGTACGTATGTGCTCTTGCTAGGAGGAGGCTGGAAATGAAAAAAGATTTTAAAAAGCTACACCACAGCTGTTATCTGAAACCCATACCAAATTAGAAACTACAGTAGCATTATGATTACATATAGGGAAATGTTCTATTACTTGAATTTTTCTTATTTTTTACATTGAACTTATTTCCCAAGAACTTTAAATGGTGTGTCACTTAAAGAAATCTGACTCTCTTGCCAACTCTTCCTGAGTGGAAACCTACCATTCCCTCTCAGCCAAGCTTAAGATTGGGAGGCCATAAGGAATTGTATAGGAATTGTGATGAGATTACTGAAAATGAGAGTAATCTGAACTTGCAAGTCCTCCTCCTGCATCAGGAAGAATGCTTATGATACCTTTTAATCCAAACAATTCCTCTTCCCATGTCATCTTCCTATCAAATCCCTATGTGGGCAATTTTACTTTCATGTATTTATGGCATTTGTGTGGTAATTTTACTTTAATATGGCACTGCAAATTCACTGTTTCACATAGGCTGGGCATAGTGGGAGTGGTACTTCAATGCATCTGGTACCTGGTGAGGAAGGCTAAACTAGCACATGAAGTGATACAATTGCATGCATCTTGATTTACATCTACATTTAGTTACTGATTAGATGCATAAATTACTAGAGTTTTTATTCTCTGGGAACTGTATATTTAGTATGACATTAGTGTTATTGTTATTTCTTCATCAAATAATGCTACTGCCATTTTCAGACATATCCACTTTGTTAGTTTTGCTTCTGTTAATAGCTATATGTATTATAAGACTCAGTTTATTGGAGAAAGATTTTATTAGCTATTCATATCTGACTTTCCCCTGCCACATGGCAAGATGCTTTCAAACTTAGGGAAGGTTCAAAAGCAATTTGTAATACAGGATGGCGTTACTGTTCTTTTTTGAGTTAAAGTCTGGTGCATATAAACAATTATTTGGACATGTTTCAAGTAGTTCTTTGGAAGCAAGCATCAAGGCGATTGTAAAATATTCAAAGTACACACACTGCAAATTCAATCATCAAAATTAAATACAGTAAGCTTTACTTATTGAACTTAGAGTTTTCAAATCTTTCCATAAATACTACAGCAATAATAATAATAATAATAATAATAATAATAATATATTTACAGTCTAATTACCCCAAAAATACAGAATAAAAATGTGCATTGGAAAAGTATATCGAAATTTAAGCACAGAATCATGAAACAATCATAGAGGATTTCATCTAGATGGCTATATTAAACAAAAATACATCTGTAACTGAGATATTAGAATCCTCAAGTAAGAATAATTATAAGAATTCTTTTAAAATTTTTAGGGATCAACTAAAATAAATCATGAATGTAGGGTGAAATGCTATGTTACACAAGTTGAACTATCATTATAGGACTATTTCCATCTCTCCTCTACCCTCAGCCCCAGCACACCCAAAAAATTTTCTCCAGAAGATCCTTCAACCATCTAGAACAGATTTGATGGGGGCAAGAAAGGGAGAAGTTGACCCCATCCCACTGATAGAAGCAATTCCATCAGAGGAAAGACTCAGTTGGATAGTAGCCTTGGGATTCAACAGTACAATTTTTGTATCACAGCAGCACTAATTTTCATATTTAATAAAGCTTCTTTTAAACATTCTATTGGAGCACTTCAGATGAAAGAAGGAAATCTAAATATATCAGGTTTTCAGTTGAAATATCTTACAAACCCTAGAGAAAGAGAAAGAGAACCCTTTACAAATCCCAAGTAGAAATGTGCCTAGTTACCTGAATGCTGTGTTCTGGAGGTTGATGAGACAACCGTACATTTTGCAATGAAGACTGAGATCTCAGTGTTCTTTCCAGAAAGACTTCTTTACTACACGCGTAACACCAGACACGTAGTGTGGTAAGATTAACAGTTAGATAGTGCTTTGTCTCCTAGAAAATAAATTCAGTGAATTGGGGAATGTTAATAGATGAGATCTTTGGATTAAAAAATAGCCACCACAAAGGGTAACACCCTCAATATGTGCCATTAATGCAACTATTATAGTTTGAATACTACCTGCAAAGTAAGAAGTCTAGCTAAAAAACTTAGGCATATTCTGATGTACAGTTACTCTCAATACTCTTGTATTTGAGAGAAAGCAGACCATGGTAAGGGAAGGGAAGATGCAGAGGGCTAAATCCATATCTGAAAGCCTGCAGAGATTTGGTATAGGATAATGACATACTAGAATGTGCTGGAGTTCCCAGGCACACCTGTCACAGGCCCAACATGTAAAGCCTGCTTCTTCAGGGAAATTATGGCAGAGGAAAGAAAGAAAAGCACTAGCCCTACTCAGATGTATCAGAATTAATAAGTCAACTGCTACACTAAAAATTAAATTACATACAGTCACTGAGTTACGAATGTCTATATTATGAACAAATTTTACTTACAAATGAACTGTTTTAAAGTGTATTAATTTTAAAGAATTACTATGGAAAATTGTCATCACCATACAGAGACAGGAAGTGAGAGGGGAGAGAGGGAGGCCTCCAAAGTATGCTTTCCTGCCCATTTCCTTGCTGCAAAGAGGAGGCACTGCTGAGCTGGGGGTGGAGGACAGAGATAGAGATATTTGCGTTTTTTCATATTCATGGGGGTTCCGTGCCCTTAAGCCCCAGCAAATGTGGAGGACCAACTATTTGTGTTCCTACTCATGTACAAATTCAACTTAAATATGAATTTCCATTTTCTCAGGAACAGAACTCCAAGACTGCCTGTATTTGTCATAGTATCTTTCAACTGTTCCAAAAACAAACCGTTAGTCTTTTGGACAATCAACTAATCTGTTTCTGTTCAAAACCTAGTATGTCACACTACTTCATAATATACCAAACATATGCAAAGGACAGCAAATGTCTGTATATGGAACTGAAGTGTGAACTGTCAACAGGGGAATGCCAAATGCATCTTTATTCACTGATCACCAACCTCTGCAGCAGCACCCAAACAGAACTTCAACGCAAGTGCTTTGATTGTGTCTGCCAGTTACATCACCCAATCCATTTGCTCAAATATTTGTTCTGTGTCTTATATTGAAGAATCCCATCAAATACTTCCTCATAAATTCAGAGCTAGGTACAGACTTCCCCTCAAAGGATTCAAAAAGTATGAAAAAACTAATGTGTTTCTTGGGGGCCTCTCATGCATATTTCTAAGGCCTTTCCCTGCTGCAGCCTTAGACTAGCATACATCATCCTTTGCCAGTCTGGTTCTTTCTGGATGTTTTTGACTTCAATTCAACCCTAGCTAGTGTGGCTAATAATCTGGAATATTAGGACTATACTCCAAAATATCTGAATGGAACAAGGCTGGTGCAGTTTTGACCAAATCAATGCCATTTGGATGGGGCTACAAGAAGTCTACTTCAACTCTTAACTGTACAGCTGCAAAAGCAAAGCATGTGTCTTAGCCAATTCTTACTCTCTTAATGGTGTTTTGCAATCATATATATCTTTCCCACATAAACTTTGCACATTAGAACATCTTTATTGGGAACTAATCCAAATCCCAGTTTTGGGAAATTGTTTCGATTTCAACATAATGCCTTTCACATTACCATTGTCAAAAAATTATGAAATATAAAGCATTTGGTTTAACTGCATAATGTGAATACAGTGGTACCTTGGCTCACGAACTTAATCTGTTCCACGACTCTGGTTGCAACCCAAATTGGTCGTGTGCCAAGTCAAATTTCCCCATAAGGATCAATGTAAATAAGGTTAATCCGTTCTGTAACTATTTTTTTAATCACAAAAATTTGAAACAAAGTGACAAAGAACAACAAAGATCACGGCCATCTCCCCCTCGCACGACCATGATTGCACCGGTGTTCCCTGTGCCAGTGCGATCGTAGCCATCTCCCCGCCCCCAAGCACAATGATGGTCGCGCCCATGTTCATGCCTGAGCGTGACTGCGGCCATAGACGAGCGCGATCAAGAAAATGCTCAGGCAGGGAAGACAGGCGCGATCACGGTCATCTCCCCCCCTGAGCATGATCGCAGCCATCTCCCCCCCCCCGAGCGTGATCACGATTGTGCTCGTGCAGGGAGGATGGGCACGATCGCAATCATCACCCGATGTGGAGTTCATGACCTGAGGCAAAATCTTTCTGAAATTTCTGTTCGCAACCCAATTTGTTCGTGAACTGAGGCGTTCGTGAGCCAAGGTACAACTGTAGTAGATATTTACCATGAACTAAAACTACTAGCTGTTGCATCACACTTTCCCATTCTGCTTGTCAATAAATACAATAGTAATAAATAATATAGTTAAAGTTAGAAGCTAGGCTACACTATAAAAGTTAGCCATTATAGGCTCTGCATATTGAACTGGCATCCTTGTTCTTATACAGTTCAAACTGTGCAATTTCAGATTCTAATTTAAAGACTTAGACTTTAAAGTCTCTGACCCTACCCACATTTCTCTACTGTCCTGGCCCGTCTAAGACAGTAGAGAAATGTGGGCAGGGACAGAGATTGAGCATATCAGAACAATTTGAAGGGTAAAGGCTGTATAATCTCTCAAAAGTTAAGAATCCATATATACATACCTGGGAATGTATGGTACTGTGATCTATATGAGACTCCCCACATCCAACATATGAACATCTATTCTGTCAAACAAAGCCGAACAATTATTATATTTCCACAGACAGCTCAATCCATAGTGAGTACTCTATAAGTAAACCAATGGGGCCTACTGGATGGGGTTCATGGGACATATTACACACAAAAATTGATAAGCCTTTCAAGTTCATGTTAATTCACAGCTAAGCATCTGTTGCCAAGAATGGTATTAGCAATTATCCACAATAAATACTACAGGAAATACAACCCAGAACTACAAATGCCAGAACAGGTGATTAATAACCCTTGCAAGACTGCTGCATAGAAGTTCAGATGGATGACTATGTATCACCTAGGGTTTGAAACCAAGACAATGGAGTTATGTATCTGTTAAGTAGCTTACCTAGTGACAGAATAGTTATATTATAATCAACTGCTTTTTAAATGACTGTTGATACTAATGCTATTGTTACAGTCGGTGGTTTCTGCATCTAATTTCCTTCTGACCTCACTGTTTAACACTTCTCTCCTCCCAACCAGTATACTAAAACAGTCAAGTAACACTTTACCTATCTGATGAAATTGACTATAGTTCACAAGAGTTTTTGACATTAAAAAGTTCTTAAAATGCCTTAAAACTCAAACCAATACAGCTACCCCTCTGGATAGAAACAAAGCATCCAATGGAAGGGAATGTGTCAATTGATTGGAGGTGTCATTTTCAAGAAGTGTTTTCCACAATGTTTAATCATTTCAATGTGCGGAGTTAAGATATTAATTTATATTGCATTATTGATACTGTCTGATCTGTTAATTTATACAATTGTGATCAAAACACATTCTAAACTGAAAATATAAGGTGGCCTTTTTTTGCCTTTGACAGTTTTTTCCACCAAAGGTGTAATATCTTTTGTTTTTCATCCAACTGCATTCCCCCACCCTAACAATTGAGTTCATCTCACACAACTATAACATACAATGGCTCAGCCAAAATCAGAATCCAAACCACAGGACACTAATTAGATCCAGTATTCCATCAGCTTTACTCTGTTACCAGTGCCCAAGCATCTCTCTTATATAGATTCAGATATAAATCCAAATAGGATCTTTGTTAGTAACATTCCTATGACTTATAGTAGAACATAGCCCAGAGGAACCCTGCACAATCCAATGTATATACATAGTTCCCACTAGGGGACACTAAAGCCTACTAGCAGGTGAATATTTCTTTCAGCATTGACAGAAAAGTCATTTCTAGGAACTATCACTCTTAAAGATTTCACAGAAATAAACCCATTGTAATTCTATTTACCTCTAAGCATGCCCAAAGATTTGGTCCTTTTACTTTACAGTCCTGGCAAGTACCCTATTAAAAACAAAGAAACATGTGGTTATTTAATAAAATCAGTTATTGTAGAACCAAAGGATAAGAAAGGCCAATAAATAAAATCTTATTCTCATTAAAGGCATGGCTTCTTTGTGCACTCATCCAATTAAAAAGCATGCTGCCTGATGCAGTATCTAGCACTGATGCACATGGCATAAGCTGTAATTCAAATCAGTCAAACAAGCTAACATTAATGCATCAAAGAAGGTTTGAAATTGAAACTCACATGAGATTTATGTATTAAGTCTTCCTTGGTGATCTCACCAACAGATTCCAAATGTGAACAGTCGTTGCTTAGTGCTGACATTTTAGCAGCATTCACTTTCAAGATTAAGTAGTACCTACATCTTGAGAAGAAAAGAGTAATTGTACTCAAATGTTATTGGTGCAAATTAAGGTGAAAAGAGATTTTGGAGTTTTATATAATTTCTAGAAAGAACTTTGTAAAAGATGTTGTGCTGTCCTTCCTTCATGCAATTCTTATTTACAAGAGTTTAAGTAATCCATTGTTAAATATTTCAAGGCTAGTTATATAGGCTAAAATTATTTTAGAAAATTTTGCAAATATTATTTCTTAAACAAATCAGAACATTTGACCAATGAGATTGTTTTCCAGTTTGCAGCAAAAACTTACAAACATCCCATTTGTGGGTTATTAACATGACATCTGAACTTGGCCATGGTACTGTACTCAACAAACCACCTTACATGCCAAAGACCTGCTTGAATAAAAATGCATTGCTATTATCAGGCTCAATATTTTTTTTAAGAGGAGGAATAAACTTCATCAATGGAAGGCTTGTCAGATTTAAAACTAACATTCTAATCTTCATGCCTGTATTTAAGCATTTATATAATGCTTTGGAGCATCGAACAAGCTTCATGTGAATAGCTTTGGGACGCCAGTATTCTTTATCAGTGTACTGCAGATAAGTGAGAGCTGAGAACAAGATATAAAAGTGGCTTTGTTGAGCTGCAACATTAGATTATGGCTTATTATTGCAGCCATGAGTCCTTGAGATCTCATCCTTCACCACTACATTAGCTGTCTTTTTACAAGGGTAGTTTGACAAGTAATAGTGTCATGTGGTAAGAATGGAAATCCTATTTCCCAACTAAACACAGTGTTATTCATTAACATTCATCAACTCATTAGAGTTTTTCATTAATGTGAATGTAAAGTCAAAACAAAACCATAAACTCTCCAGGTGTTTATGTCAATGCTGTGACTTAAATGCTCTAATGTACACAGCTAGAGCATTTGGAACTTCTGTTGAGGATACAGCAGCTGACAAAGGTAAGGCTGTAACAGAAAACTTTCCAGCGTATTCTTTTTCCACTGAAAACTTTCCAGTTAATAAGTTCATTTCTGACAATGAATGCATGCCAACTGAAAATACAGTATGAGACAAGCTTGGCAGCTTCAAAGGTGTAATTACGTTTTACAGGTTCACAGCACATATGTCAGAGAGCACAGATAGCATTGAAGCAAATGTGTGTGTCTTTGTGTGAAATGGTCCTAAGTGGTGAGAATGAAATTCCAGTGCCCCAAATTCCTCAGTGAAAGATAGCAGAACTCTGTTGAAAGAGATGAGTGGTGGTCACCATATCATGTACCATTCTAATTATGCCACAGAGTTCAGTACCTTGGGGTTTTCCGTTAGATTTAATGCTACTGTTAAATTTTTATAAGCAGTCCAAATAAAAATGTTTGCATAATAAAACATTCAATTCCATCCCTCAAAATATTTCAGGTCCAATATGTATCAAGACAAAAAAAATTAACATGGGATACTTTTTAATCAACATTTATTAGACACAAGTGCACATACTAAATTTGATCTAGAGTGAGTGACTTTTCTCAGTGCAAATCACCCTGTGACAATTCATGCAGATTCACTTAACTAAAATATTACATAAGACCTGCCAGCCAATCAAGACCTATCTTCCTTAAGTGAAAACACATACACAACTGCACAAACTGTTCAAGACATACATGGGGGTTGTTAAATTGTAGTCAGAGTCAGAAGGTGATCAAGCATTAACAAAAAATTATTTTTATTTATTTTTCGATTTATATCCTGCCTTTTTCCTACAAAGGGCTCAAGGCAGCTTACATCATTCTCCTCCTCCATCTTATCCCCACAACAACAACAACCCTGTGAGGTAGGTTGGGCTGAGAGTCTGTGACTGGTCCAAAGTCACCTGGTTGGCTCCATGGCTGAGTGGGGACTAGAACCCAGATCGCCTGAGTCCCAGTCCCATGCTCTTAACCACTACGCCACACTGGGTCGCAAATATTTTTTCAAAATCAAGTATGTTTCTCCTTCCTCAAAGATGCTTTGAGAGAATATTCTACCTCACTAATAAGAGTGCCTCTATGTATGGTTTAACAGAAATGAGTCCTATAACTCTGTCTAAACATGCATAGGATTGTGCTCAAAGGTTGAGGCTGAAAGAGAATGATTTGCCCAAGGCCATGCCATTAAGTTTGATATTTAAGCATGATTTATATCAAATTCCCACATCCAACACAAACACTATAATCAAATTACCTACTGGAGCAATATCTGTCCTGACATGATATACTGACTGGAGATACACTGGAAGTTTTTTTACCTTCTCACTAAGATGACTTTTTGTATAGCTAATTGGGAAGATCTGGACAATAAAGTATGTGCCAGTTTCCCTTAACTTTCTTCAGCATGGTGTATTGTGGATTTCCAGCTGAATTGCACCAGCAAAAAGGTACGCAGAATGCCATATACTTCATTTGTCACAGTATATTGGCGAAGAATCATCTAAAGAAGCTGCATGGTGGGAGATTCAGGACAGAGGAAAGGAAGTATTCTTCATAAGACACATAGTTTAGTGGAACTCACTGCCATAAGAGGTAGTGAAGGACTACCAATTCAGGCAGATTTAAAAGGGGATACTATATATGATGGACAGTATCAACAGGCAAAGAGATATGATGCCGGAAGATGAGCCCCTCAGGTCAGGTGTCCAATGTGCTAGCTTAGGTGGACTCTGGGGGATGGTGGAAGATAGAAGAGCCTGGAGGAATGTTGTCCATGGGGTCGCAATGTGTCAGGCATGACTTCATGAATAACATACATATATGATGGACATCACCTCCAGTATCAGAAGAACTACACCTCTCAAGAACAGCTATTGGGAAACATGATCAAGGGAGTATATGACCAACTACTCTTAGGCTTCCCATAGACATCTGGCTGGCCACTGAAGGAATATAATACTACATTTATTCTCAATAGGGCTGTTCTTATCTTTACCATATAAGTAGAATTTTCAAGGAACACTGAAGACCCCCTTATCTCAAAGACAGAGCAAAAGCTTCTGCAATTATGCTCTTAGGAGACTACCATTGCACTGTCCATAATCTTTTTTGAAATTTACACTGGGCTGCAAGCACCACTTTCATACAGAACAAAAAAAAAAAAAAAGTAACTGTTTCTCTTGACTCAAACTATTATGGTTGTTGGATAATGCTTAATAATCTTCCCTGAATCAATGATACCTAATTCAGCATCTGATTGCTGTTAAAAAGTAATAGCCTAATTATGTAATATTGAGAACATATATAATAATCAGATTTTATAATAGTAATGTCTTGCTTCCTCTTTAAACAAGACTGTAATATAAAGTAAAACAGAACCAACAACTTAGGCATGAAAGGTAAAGAACTGCCTTAGGCAACAAAAATCTATTTGTTATCTTCTGATGAAATTTGTCCAGGCTTTTTACACGAATATTTATTTCCTTTTCTCCTCCCACAAGCAAGCTTGCCATTTTAAAACATTTAAGTTTGCATACTTATCTATTCTTCAACTGTTTCACTAACAGCAGTGCTAATTTAAGTGTTTCAAGCCTATACATTTGTTCAAATCTTACAGGAAATAACAATGTAATGCTACATTCTATTTCATGCTGTCTGAGTTTCCCCAGTTTTATCCTTTGGAAAAAAATGTATCTCTGCAGTGTATTCTGCAGACTGATCTTTTTGCAGCAGAACTGCTGCCCCTGCACTACTGCAAGCTGCAGTGGTGGCTGTAGCCAGTGTTGTATCAAACCAGTTGCTGCAACACAGAACAGATGTCTCAACCATTTATCAAATAAGTATCGTATTTGGCAGGTTTAGCACATGAATATAATGCTTACCACTTTATTCCCCCTTCATCTGTTTCATTCATGCACACAGGCAGGAGAGCTAAATTTTACTGTACTATCTTCAGAATCTAGATTACCTTAATACTCAAAAAACCTATTATCAACATTGCCCATTAATTTCTTTAGCTTTACATTTCATACTGTAACTGTCACTTAATGGTTCAAAATACCTTTGTGCCTCAAACAAATATTACACAACACCTTTATGTCCCCTAGAAAAAAAACTTAGATATAGCTAGATCTAACATTCAGATGTAGAACCCTCCTTTCAATATTTGGGTTCCATACTGAGAGACATGCCTGTGGAAAGCTTGTCCTTGGAAACCTCATTCACGTTTCCTCCTTGGAAAGTTGGAAACCTGTTTCACATTCTCTATTGGTTACCCATGAAAGGCTACTCTGTACATGATCAGAAGCAAATCACTGTTATTCCCATCATACATTTTAGATCTAGAAACTGGTATTAAGTTAGACTCCAGACAAAAACCTTGCTTGCATTCGTTTTTCTGGGGGTGGGGGAAGAATAATAAAACGTGTTTACTAGAAGAAAAAATGAAAGGGAGTCTGCTAAACTTCCCACCATCGACAGTGGGAAAGGCACGGCTTTAAATACACTTCGAGGACCTGGTTTTCTGTCACCACAGATGAAACATTACTTCGTCTCAACCGCATCCCCTTTCCTACCCCGCAAACCCATCAGACCCTCGAAAGTTTAGACTGCTGTCCTATGCACTTTCTTTTAGGAGGAAAGGCCCCCCGACCTCAATCGGGGTTACGTCTGAGCAAACTGCTTGGAGGCTTTGCTCTTTCCCGATACAATACTGACACTGTCTCACCAAATCAGTCTCTGGGACCGTTCGTTTCACACCGCAGCAATTTCTTCGCTTTCTCCGCAAATATAACGGTGGCCGCCGCCACCTCCGCCTCACCTGTTTCCTAAGGCTAATTAGAAAAAGTAGCCGCGCAGAAGACACAGCAGGCGATGGAGGACAAGGAGTTGCCGCCGCCGCCTTCCGCTTCCTTTTTATTTTCCAGCCTGCTTTCTGCGGGGAGGGGGCACAACTCTAGTGCGCGCGCGCAGTACCGCTTCAGCGTGGCTGGTTCCTTTCAATTGCCCTACACGAAGATGGCAGCGCAAACTTTCATGTCGATAGAAGTAAAGGACTTGCCCCCAAGAAAGATGGCGGCACTGGGCTTGTGGGTGAACTGACGATAGAGATAAGTTGAAAAATGGGTTTAGCACCAAGATGGCGATTGTGAATTATTCAGGAATAGAAAGGCAGAAGAACTCGGTTCTTGATTTGTTGAAAACATGTGATGACAGCATCGGTTAATGCTTACTAAGAAGGCTTTACGCATATAGTTTGGGAGGATGCTCCCAGGCTTTCATTCGTCTATCTTTCCTTTTGATCTTGGAAGGCGATTTCTGCCTGTGTTCTCTTCAGCACCGTAGACATTAAAAAAAAAAAAAAAATCGGCAGCGTACACACATGAAATGCCTGATTTGTTTTGATGCTCCCGCCCGTCCTTGCTCAGGAAAATAGTTACAGTATGATGATAACGGAGAGACGCAGGATTTCAGTGTAGCAGCATGTGTCCCCCTCACGAAACAAAAGGTAACTGAACAAAGAGAAGCTCTTGCTTTTTCAAACTCGGGTCCTACTTCATGTGAAAAATGTATATTTTTTGATTTTTCAAAGTGTACAGTAACTGCATATAGGCCAACAGTAACACATTTATGCATGTAATTGAACCCTGCATTTGGCTGGAAGATGTTAGGGAGAAGTTTAAGCTGCAATTCTTAGCTGACAGTAACATGCATTGAATTCAATGAATTACTTCTGAGTAGATAGGCTTGCACCGTTAAATAACTTGACCTTCCCACAAGATGAGGAAGGTATGCATGATATTTGATTGGAAATTTAAATGCATCTTACATTTTTATGCCAAACTGCTCATTTGCAATACTAGGGAAACATGTGATTGAACAGAGTGAGACTTACTACTTAGTAGACATGTGTAGGATTATGAGTTATTAGAATTAAATTGATGACTGGTTGCTACAATAGAGAAAATGCAGAATTGTATCTTTGCAGTGATTTGGCAGCAGTGAATAGAAGCAGGAAAGGTAAAAGGAGTGGATCCTTCATTCTAATTTAGACATTGTTTGGTCACAAAGTTGTGTCCAACTCTTCGTGACCCCATGGACAACATTCCTCCAGGCTCTCCTGTCCCCCACCATCCCCTGGAGTCCACCCAACTCCCTAATGACCCCATCCAGACACCTCAAGCTCTGCTGTCCCCTTCTCCTTTTGCTTTCTATCGTTCCCATCATCAGAGTCTTCACCAATAAGGACCTCCTTCTCATTAGGTGGCCAAAGTATTTGAGCTTCAGCTTCAGTCTCTTTTCTTCTAAAGAACAGCCAGGGTTGATTGAAGAAATTAGATCTACTTGTGGTTATTTTCAGTATTTAACTACTTTGAATGTAAATATACTACTGATGTTATTTCCGTACTGCGAATGAGGATGTAGGCTGAGAGTGGCTTATGTCACTCCTGCAACATCATCTAACCTTATTGATATTCATATTGCAAGTTGGGGAGTGTGGGGACTTAACTGCAAATTCTTCAATGATCTCCACTTCCAGATGGAAACAGAGGTTCATAGATTCTCTCACCAAAACTCCCATTATTAAAGGATGTAGGGAATCTTATGTACAACTCTGAGCATGCCTTCTTGAACATATTTGGGATTTGTAGACCTTTGTCTAAACACGCATAGGCTTGCACCTTTAAGTAATGTAACTTGCTAGATCTAATTAGTGAAATATAATTTAACCACTTTGAAGTACAAACAAACCAGGGTCACTAAGTATTTAACAAAGGTATTGCTAGGTACTTGAAAGTAATACGACACAGGCCACTGATGTAAGTTTACATGTGTATTGGGAGATTTGGGAGCTAATTTTGCTCCCCACTCCACCCCCACAAGTGATATGTCTACCAGCAAAATATATTTAAGTTAAAATTGTTCTTGGAGTGGCTGCAGAATGCCAAAAGCATAACACTTCACCTGTTTTCAAGCTTGTTTTGACTTTTTGATTCTTCATCCTAGCTACAGACCACTCAGGCCAAAATGTTCAATCTGGTCAGTCCAGATGCCAGTTTTTACAATATGGTTGGTGATACAGTCTACATGCTTCCTACTCCCGATATATGCCTATGTGTATATGGAAGTGTGTGTGCATGCAAATTTAGAGTTACTAGAATTTATTTACATTTCAATGATAACAGAAAAGGTTAAACAAGAGTGCCTTTGAGCTTATAGAGAATGTTCTCTCAGCACTGAGCAATTGCAGTTTACCTCCCCCTGCCCCCCACACTCTCTCTCTTTGTAATGATATAATATATCCCATAGATTAACTCCTTAGCTTTTCTTTTTCTAAGTCTGAGAGGAAAGGTGGGCCCAGGAAAAAAAAAAGGAAAGGAGGCCATGTCTCCAAGGTTTAAAATGCTTCAATCTTCATACTACAATATCTCTTGGTTTGCCAAGTGAGAGAGTTCTAATGACTCCTAGACAATGTAAGACTAGTGAGCTCAGAAGAGGCAGACTTGTATTAAGGTAGATGATGCAACTAGATCATCTCCAAAGAGGCAGGGCAGATGTCCAATTGTACTTCTACTAACAACGTTAATAGTTCTTAACTATAGTGGAAATTTCACTCTTCCCTTGCCTTTACCTCAAAGTTCAGTCTGCCTGCAGTTAAGCTTGAATAGTATCCCCTTAAAGTTATGCAAACACGACCTCTTTGCCTGCAAGTGAGTGGAGCACAAAGCATCTGTATTTCAGTGCAAACTTGGTTTAGTGTTGATTGTGCGGTAAGCACAACCTTGTTTACCTGGAAGTAACGTGTGCGTAATGGATTACTCCTGGGAAACCGTGCATAGGATTGCAAGCCTCTGTTTTGCTCCAACTTGCAGCAACGTTCGGGTTTCAGCTAAGTGGCTTTGCCGCAAAACCAACTCGAGTTGTTTAAAAAACAAATGGAAAACCAACCCAGCAGCAGTTCCCTCCACCGTCAACTGGCTGGCGGCGCAGTGGCTTCTCCTTCTGCGACAGAGATGTAAAGGCTTAATCTGACCGGAAGCCAAGAGGCACGTGTTATGCCGTGTTTTCTCTCCACGGATCCTCTCCCCACCACTTGTGTGTGTTGCTTTTTTTAACAGCTGCAAATGCATCTGCTGTGGCTGGTGCACAAGAGGAATCGAGGAGCCCTTCACGTTGGCTTGCTTCACCTACTGCTGTGCTTGAGAGTAACCCCAAGAAACCAGTCGGGATCCTTGTCTCCTTTTTTCCTTAGGGGCGAAACGGTTCGGCGCTTCAGCGTGAGAAGAGCCTTATCCAAGCCGTTTCAGCAGGTGAGCAGCCTGCGACCCTCTTCCTAAGCTTCAGCTTTGCTGGTGCTAAAAAATAGCAAGGCCAAACATAACGGGTTGATCTGCAGAAAGTCCTGAGGTCTTTTAATGCAGGATCAACACTATCAATTTTACAGAGGGATGATATCTGAAATAAAGGAACGTTCGAGATCGGTTATGGCAGTCCGGCTATAAGGGATGCCCATCCCGAGCTGGGAGGGCTTTTTATCGAATAACGTAATCAGAGGTGAGACTATTTAGTCATCTTGCTGTGACGACACGATCTTTTCCGGACCTCTTCTGTAACATAAGAATTTCTCTGCCTTCTTTCTGTAAATATTGTGGCACAATTTCTTGCTTTTCAGCGCAGTCATACAAGCTATATGTGTAATTTCTTGCCCCATGTCTAAGATCCCTTAATTTTAGGATATCTCTTTCTGTGTGTGCTCTTTCTTACCTCCCCCTCTTTATTGTAATACGAGCTGCTATTGGGATAGTTAGCAGTTCCGTGTATTTAAATGTTCAGCAGAAGAATTGGGATAAGCAAACTGGTGAAAGTTGTATGTCTGAAAAATGAGTTTTATCTGTGTAAATAAAAGCTTCAAGCAAACAAACTTTAAGTAAACTGTGCTGCATTCCTAGACAACTATAAAGAGCTAATACAGAATGCATTTCAATCACAGAGGTCTTTAGTAGTCTAGTATACAAATAAACTCAGGATTATATGCATATATGCACAATATAATCTAAGTGTCTCATACAGTGATCTAGAGTATTAAACTGGGATTCCCCCTTTAATTAAGAAGTCTTTATTCGTTTAAAATATTTATTTTATTTTTCGATTTATATCCTGCCTTTTTCCTACAAAGGGCTCAAGGCAGCTTACATCTCCTCCTCCATCTTATCCCCACAACAACAACCCTGTGAGGTAGGTTGGGCTGAGAGTGTGACTGACCCAAAGTCACCAGGTGGCTCAATGGCTGAGCGGGGACTAGAACCCAGGTCGTCTGAGTCCCAGTCCCATGCTCTTAACCACTACGCCACACTGGCTCTCCATAAAAATAAATTATAAAAGATGTTAAATATTAATATGCATATGAAAGTTCACCAACAAAGTGTGGGCTAAGGTGAAGACACCCTAGAATACTTAAAAGCAACTGAAGTTCCCCACAGATGTTTTGGTCCTGGGGTAGGCAACACGCTGTCAAAATTCTAAAAGCAATTTAGTAAAAAGTTTTAATAAAATTTCCAAGAAATTTAAGCAACCTGGTCAACAGACAAAAAACATCCAGCCACATGAACTGCTAAAGACCCACAGGGCACTCTGGTGGAGTGAAAGTATGGGAGATTTTGATCTTTATTTAAACCCAGAAATACTTGCATTTTTCCACTTTCATGGGAGTCCTGCAACCCTAACATTGCATAACATTCACCCTAACATAACAGGGGTGAATGTGAAGGGCCAACTAAATGTGATCCACCTTAAATGCAAATTCAACTTAAAGACGAATTTTTGTTTTCTTGGGAATGCAACTTGTAATTTAGTTTTTAAGGAGTGAATTCATTAAAGTTCCCTTTATAAAGTGTCTGATGCAGCTGACCTTGAGTTTCCACTTTCCCTAAACTGCAGAACTTTACATCATTCAAATTATTCCCATAGCCAAGGAAATTTTGTTCAAGAGGAGTTTGCAGCCTCTGTTTTCTAATACAGCTTTTTGTGCTGGCAGGTCCAGGTTTTCATGGCTTCCATCCTCAACCCCCATGGTATATGTTACTCCCTTGGTATTGCAGTGCTGGCCATAGGAAAAGATCACCTTTGATCTCCTCTCCTATCAATTGATTGATATTGCTGTCAGTCAATGTGGGCTGCGGTTATTGGGTACTCTTTGACAGTATATCTTTGAGCTGCTTTTCCTGTATTTATAGAAAAATAAATTGGGCTGCTTGATAATCAGGTGTTGTTTTTCCCCCCAAAAGTTATCTGCAAATAGCTATCTTATTTTGCTGGTATACTAGTAAAGGATTGTGGTTCTTTTAACCTCTCCTGGATATACCAGTAAAATGGAATACCATTTGTTGATACTGCTATCTTTTAGGATTGAAGAAGATTGAGAAAGGAAATGGAGAAAGAAAGGAAATAGACAGCACTCCACCCTCTTCACTCTGCTATTGCTTCTTTATATTTAGGAATAATAGTACAATATATTTAAAATTTTGTATGTTAGTCTGCATGTATATAGATAAACCAATTGCTCAAACTTATAGCTTTAACAAGTTTGCTTCTCCCAGTACTTTTATTTAATGGATTTTTCTTTTGGGATATATGATCCTAATTTCTTGTATCACAGTGTCCCAGTGCTGTACATTGTTCTGTAAGATACAATGTTCTGTTAGGGTTGTGAGGAATGGAAAACATGGGAACCATTGAAAATTAAGATTTCTGGAGTACTTGGATGGAGCCTACAGCTTTAAAGTATTTCTTTTTTCCATCCAAAAAGATTATTGCTCTAATTCTTCTTCATGTATTTTGAAGCTAGTTAAAATCTTAGAGAAATGCTGCTTTCAAAAGTGATTTTTTGTGTAGTGATTATTATAAAATGTCTTCACAGAGATCAGCCAGAATGACTGGCAATTCTCAGCAATCGTCTGCTGTGCTCTACGTGTTTTCACAAAGCAAACAGAAATTTCCAGTCCCATTCATTGATGCATTCCAGTCAACACATGCACATCTATGCAGAATAAGTCCCCCCAAGTTCATTGGGGCTTACTTTCTGGTAAATGGGTGCAGGATTACAGTGGCTATAGCTATCTTCACAGAAAACCTCAAAAGGCACACATGTGATTTTAGTTTCTTTGCTTAGTGAAATTGTAAATGTTGCAGTCTTTGAACTCCAGAAGAAAGCTTGAACTTGAGCCATTGAAATAATTTTTCAGGGTGTGAGGCTGAGAAATATCTGTCTCTCATTGGCAGACCGTATTCAACATCACACAGACGTAATACAGTTTTGACTTATTATCACCTAAGGATGCTATGGGAAAGAAGGAGCCATGTCAGAAAACGCTGTCAGTGAGACATGCTTTTCTTTGAAGAAAGCAGCTTTAAGAGTATTTGATCTTCCCCTTTCCTGGTATTATTCCCTAATTCAGGTAACTATTGCACTTCCTTATTCTTTTTTGTAGTACGGATTTGAAAATTGAATAGCAAGGTTTGTGCTTCAACACTTAGCCATCTTTTACAGAGTCTTCTATTATGTATCCATATTTTCTCAAACTAACTTGGATGTAAATAAAATATTGCATTGTTCATGCTAATCATTAGAAAATAGATATGTATTCTAAAACTATCTTGCCGAAACCACACCCTTTCTTTCTGTTTCCTAAGTGGTGAATGCTATGAAAAGATTGAGCTAGGTTTTTTTCCCATGTTTTATTTCACAGATTTAGCAACAATTATGTATTTCAGTTTTGCTGTGGATTTTATGCCCTAATTTGCAAGGTGAATAGGGTTTTGTTGCCATTCCTCTATTATGATCTGTGAAGTTAGGAAGGCGCACACATTGTAGAGCAAACATTTACATGGGGTGAGAATGCATGCAGTATCTATATCCGAAGAATATCTAAAGCAGGCTTGGGTGGAGTCCTGACTGCTAGGAGCATGACTGCATTAAAAGCAGGTTAGATGGGGCTGCAAAGAAATAGAATTGCTGTTAAACCTGACTTTCTATAATTGTTAGTGTTGGAGTGAGTTTAAACACAGAAGTTTTAATGTGCTCCGGGAAGATAAAGGCTTCTTTATCATTTGCCGCTATGAAGATTTGTAAACAAAGTGAAATAATGAGGGGGAGACGGACACCATTTTTCCTAGTCCCACAGTGTGGGAAAAATGGATTCGGAAACACATATTAGGAGTGTGATTCAGTGACTTTCTGTGCAAACTGAACTTGTATATGGTATGTGTAGCATACTGTTTAGCAGGCAAACCATGTGCCGGTATGAAATGCCAAGGGATGATGGTTGCATTGCATACAAAGATACAAGTAAAGGGTTAGAAATTCTGCAGCCCAGCTTCCTAGTGCAGAGAAGATCTTGACCTATGAGTGCAGCATCTGGATTACCCAACTGCTGCTACACTGGCTGGTCACAAACTGCTCCACCCTTCTCTGTAGTGGCCATTGCTCCAGTGTCTTTTCTCCCTAATCATCTGATAAGATAGGGGAAGGCATAGGGGAAAAGCCACTCCTGTGTTCTTGGATCACTAGACTTGGGCAAAAATGTATCATTGTAGACTAGAAAGTGCAGTAAAGTATGCCATTTAATTTTGAATTCCATGACATAAACTGGTAACATACTCAGTAGTTCTAATTGTGTATTTGGTGTGCAAAAATATTGTGATCACTAACCCAGCCTTATATATTTGTTGAAAAAGGTCATTCCTGCAGTGGAGGTACCACGATGCATATTGTGGTGCAATGCAAGGACTGCCGGTGGCTATTTTGGTTAACTTGTTTAGAAAAGGGATAGGAATAACCATACATAAAACAAACAATTAGAGAGCAGAGCTTGCACAATTAAACAGCTACAGTAATGCACGTGCAATGCATGTAGCATATCTGATTGTTTGACACTGATATCAGATTCTGCATCTAGATTCTGCATCATCAGATGCATTTACAAATAGTATGTGTGCTGGTCTTCAGAAGCCTGTTAAGCTTTCTAATCCCATGTGCTGTATAGGGCTTCTTCAGATTCAAGAAGCAAACCAATAAGGTGGTAGACTAGGATACATTGGAGGATGAACATCGTTAGCAGGCTATTAATCAAACAGTTTCTGCTTTCATGTCAAATTTAGATTTCAGACCAAATGCTAACGTTGCAAATTATAATTCAGTAGAAAATTTTAATTTTGTTTTAACAATAAACCATTTCAGTGATCACATGCAAGTTGAATGAATAAATATCAATATTCTGTTTATCCTGTAATATTGAGAATTTTAAAACAAAAATCAGGTTTTATAGCACATTCAGTCTCAGGGTTTTTTAAATCCAATTTTCTGTTAAAGCTAAACTTAAGGGCACAATTCTGGGCACAATTCTATGATGATTTGTGTAAGCTTCTGAACTCAGAGGCTTATAGTCGTCCAATGCAGAACCAGAGAAGTGGTGGAAACCATCTTTCTATTCATCCTTCCACCCTGCATTTTCTTGTATATCAAACTGCATATAAGAGAGAACTAGAAAAATAAGAATCTATAAATCATTAAATGGGACACATTAGGTTATTTGTTTTATTATGGTGAGTTTCTTAATGGACCAGGATCTGACAATGCATCCCAGATGCTAGGATTCAGAGATACCATCTTCTTGTTTACTGACTAGTGATTTAAATTGATTTTATTTGAATCAAATCCACCTTGGTATGAACATAAGTGAAGCCTTATACAAAACTTTTTGTGGATTAGAAGTATAATTCTGGCAAACACCAAGCCCACACTTTTAATACTATGCAACAATTAATAAAGATGCTCTGTACTTTAGGCTCCAGTGTTAAATCTACTTTACAGGAAGGACATAAAATTAAACTTGGTGGGGAATTTGCTTCTAAGTATGTGTGTTTAGAGTCAAGTGGCTTAATAATGTATTACTCCTATGTGAATTATTACAAGAACAAAAATTAACTTCGCTAAAGTATTTTCTGGCCATTTTTCAGGATAGTAGCCCTCCCATGGCAGTTTATGACAATTCAATCCTATATAATAAGACCCAACAGAGCAGCCAAAAGTCACAAAAACAAATACCAGCAATAAATATCTGCCCTACACAGTTCTAAATATCTATAACACAGTTGAAGCTACAAATCAAAACAGTCGGCTAAGACATAATTGGGGAAGAGCCAAAGGAACGAAGTACATCTTAGGACCTTTCTCAAAGCACTGGTGGTACATATGGACCTCTAGAATGGGGTGCCTTCTACTGCAGAAAGGCCTTTTTTCAGTACTTGCCTATGCAGTTTCCATCAAAGGTGGGTAAGGGCGAAATTCTGCTGTTGCTGATCTTAAATTGTGGGCAAGCTGGTATGGGTGAAGGCAGTCCTTCAAATAATTTGGCCTCAAACCATTTGGAAATAGAAAGCTTCATCCAATGTCAGATGAGGCGACATCTTCTCTCTACTGCCTCATACCTCCTTTGCATGTTCTGTCAACCATCTAGAAGAGATCTGGAGGGTCCTAGAGGAGCTACAGGAACAGGAGGAATATTTTCAACTACTAAGTACAACCCAAAGGTTTTTAATTATTATTTTGCTTAGTCTGTTACTCATAGGTTTGCTCCTCTAAATAGGCATTTTTATGTGGTGTTTACAGGCCAAATAAAGTTCACCACAAATTGCAGAGCATTATATTTTAAATAAACAAGTTGATCATCAATCACCAATTTATATTTTTAAGAATGTGAGGTATTAAATATATGTATATCAAGGAACATGTACTCATCAGCCTTTTGGATTTACCATTGGATATTTTTTATTTAATAATATGTTGAGATAAAATATTCATTATGGCTTCTAAAAGAAATGCAAATGCCACACAAAGTTAATATAAATATGTATTGGACATATATTAAACTTGGTGAACTATTTTTAACTAAATTTTATCTAAGATGGACTCTAATAGAATTTCATATAGTGCTTATGCAGTGTTCATATTTGCTATATGAATTTAAAATATCGAAGTCATATTTATTTTTCTTCTGTAGAACATGTAATATAGCAGCCTTTATCATTTGCTTTAAGGTTAAAATCCCACCAGGTTTGAAGAAGCTATTTGCTGTAACAGCAGTGAGTGCAATATCTGTGCTTTTTCTTGCTCATCATTTCAAAAGAAAACGTGGGAAGAAAACTGGGAAAGTATCTCCATGGGAACCAGGCCACCTGGTGTTGGACTATATGAAAACTTCTGCATCTGAGAAAGGTAAATGGTATGTCTAAGGAAAGCCAAATCCTGGGCCAAATCTGTCCTACTGAAGGGTACATCCTGGCTTCTCTGTTTTCTTTCTATCTTTAATTTCTTTTTGCTTTCTTAAGATAAAAACAACTAACATTAAACAAATAACTTTAGGACTTTAGTTTTATCAATGCTCAATTATAATGACAGGAATCCAAACGTTAAATTATGAATACATTAAGGGCACAATCTTATGTATATTTAGGCAACGCAAACATCTTACATGTCCCAGCATGCCACAGCCAGTATGGTTGCCTAGAGAGGTGTTCGGAGTTGTAGGGCTTTTTCATTGTGCATAGAATTGCACCTTAAAAGTATTGACCTGCCTTTTTCCTCCACTTTCCCTGTCATTCAGGATCTTAATATTTGGCTCCTCAGTCTCCGATCCAGAAGTAAGAGACCGTATGTTGAAGCTGTGGCACAATGGGACTTGACTTATAGGTTTCTTGTTAAGAGAGAAAGAAGGAAGAGGATTCTTAAGCTTCCTTGGTTTTTTACAGGGGAAAAAACGGGATATTAATATAATAATAAAGAGGAAAATGGTGACAGGCTACAGTACTTAAGGTTCTTTATCTTTATACCCAGCATGGACACTCTTTCAAATAGAGAATGCACTCAAACACAGGACAGTCTTTTGATAGCAAATCAAATACAGGACTGTGCTCTGTAAAAAAGGGCACATGATAGCCCTAGTACCCCTCCCAATAGAAAATGCTAGATGAAAGCTTAGTGAATCATTGCTTATGTACACATGATTTCATCACCATTTCTTTTGTGTTAGAAGCATACTCAAATGTAACATTATTCCTATATTTTCAGTAATTCAGAGCATCCTTTGAAAGTCTGTCTTCCCTCTTGAAATGTACATTACAACAGAAAATTTAGTTAGTCTTTGGTTAAAAGACTGTTTTAGTCATGAAAATGTCACTGATGTCAATGGGCATCATTCCTGAGTAGTTTTTTATTATTTGCTTTCTTCTTCAGGTTCCAGTTGTTCCAGCAGCAGACAAAACCTAACGCTTTCGTTGAGCTCAGCCAAAGAAAAAGAAAAATACTATATTAATGCAAATGGAGGTCTCTTCAGTAAATGTTCAGGTTCAGTGCAGAGTTTGGCCTCAGTAAGTGCAGCTTGTTGAAGATTATCATGTATTTTTTAAACAAAACAAGTTATATTTTGGCACATATTAACCTAAATCTAGTGTACTGCCAACCATGGTACAAGTACAGTGTTACTTCGGTTCACGAACTTAATTTGTTCCACCATTCTGATCGCGAACTGAATTGGTCGCAGACCGAGTCAAATTTCCCCATAATTTCCCCATAATGTTCAATGCAAATAAATTTACTCCCTTCTGAACCATATGTAATTTTTTTAACCACGAAAATATGAAACAAATTACAGTACAGTACAGTATGAAGAGAGGGAACACTAACCTTGCTTGAGGTGATTTCTGGTGTGGAGGACAGGAAGGTGGGTGGGGAGGAGATTATTGTTTGGAGGGAGAGTGTGCAACTGCAATCTCAACTAGAGGAAGCCTCAACCACATGTCAGAGTGGGTAAGATGGCCGTGTTTGTGTGAACACTATCATGGCCATCTTCCCCACATGAACATGATTGCGGCCATCTTCCCCGCATAAATACACTCTGACACATGGTCATGGTGCGGGGAAAATGGCCGCGATCATGTTTGTGTGGGGAAGATGGCCACAATCGTGTTCATCACCCTATGCTGAGTTCATGAACTGAGGTATTACTGTAGTAGCACACCACTTTATATACTTAGGTTTTGTAACCAGTTGTGCAAGTAGAACTTGAGTTGCGTTGCACCTGATTCAGAACTTGGTTTCTCCTAGTACGATAACATTTGTGCTGGCAGAAAAACCATCACTGGATGCAACACACTTTCTTAAAACTGACCAGTATAAAAATTGATTATTGGCTACTTTTTCTTGAGACCTGCGATCATTCCTCATTCAAGTTTTCTGAAAAATCTGGACAATGTTAATGTCCACCTATTGCATTCATAATCTTTTCTGTCATAATTTTAGAAGCATACATTGTAACATCCTCAGACATTGAATGTCAGACTTTCCTACGTGGACTGGCAAAGTGCTATTGATTCATCTAGCGGAGAAGTGGTCTGTGAGGCAGTTGAGGTCCTGTGTTTCTGCAGTGCTTGTTTCACATTTCCTGGCTGTGTTGCCATCATTCATTGTCCTGAGCCGATGGAGCTCTTTTCAAAATTTCCACAGATCCACCATTCAGTAGAGGAAATGGGAAAATATTCAGGCCCTGCTTAGCAGAATTTTAATCCAAAGGCATAAATATTCCTTGCCAAAAAGTATTAAACCAGAAATGGAATTAAGGAAAAAAGAAATAGGAGAAAACGATACAGGATTTTAAAATGGCATAAACTACTACTTACATGTAAAATGTGATTCATTACTGTGCACTCAGTAACCAGTAACTGAAAGAAGGTACTCCTGGCCACTGAGTCTACCTGAGGCTCATGTGATAATTTTGAGTCCAGAAACACCCCAAAGCTACTGACCCTGTCATTCAGGGGAAATGCAACCCCATCCAAAACAGATCGAAGGCCCATCCTCTGGGCAGGCAGACCATCCACCAACAGCAACTCTGTCTTATTTGGATTGAATGTCAGTTTGTTGGCCCACATCCAGTCCATTATTGAACTCAGTCATCAATCCTGAATGGAAGCCACCTCACCTGGGTTAGGTGAGAAGATGTTGAGCTGGCTATCATCAGCATATTGATGACATTTCAGTCCCCACTTCCGAATGACCACTCCTAGCGTTTTCATTAAAGAGCATGGTGAACAGTGTAGAGTCCTAAGGAATATCATAGTGTAACTTGCATGCAGCAGAGCAATGGTTCTCCAGCATCACCATCTGGACATGGTCAGTCTGGTAGAAGTGGAAGTGCTGTAATACAGTGCCCTCAACTCCCAACTCAGCCAGTCTGTCCAGAAGGACACCATGGTCAAGGGTGTTTAAAACCATTGAGAGGTCCAGGAGAACCAAGAGGGTCACACTCCCCTTGCCCCTCTTCTAGCAAAAGTCATCACAGAGGGTGACCAAGGCAGTCTCTGTTCCAAATCCTGGCTTGAAACCCAGTTGAAACAAGAGTGCCTGGAGCTGCTGGGCCACTACCTGCTCAAGCACCTTACCCAAAAATGGGCTGTTTGCCACCGGCCAATAATTGGCAATGGTCCCTGGGTCCAGGTTTGACTGTTTTAGGAGTGGTCTTATCACAACCTCTTTCAAAGAGTCTAGGACCACCATCTTTATCAAGGGGGCATTGACAGCCTCCTGGACATGAATCCCATGGGTAGATGTCTTGATGAGCCAAGATGGGCAGTGATCAATTGATGGCACAGACAGAACCAAGAACATTTTGTTCCCATCATCAGGCTGCAATAGTTGAAACTCCTTCACCAAACTTGGACAAGATGGTACTCTGGACACCTCTCTGAATAGGACTAATCAACTGTAGAGTCCAAATCATGGTGTATCCAAGTGATTTTATTTTTAATTTATTTTTACATTTCTAAACCACCAAATAGATCAAATTAGCTTCTTAAAATACAACCAACCAATTAAACTTTCATTAAAAATAATCAAATAATAATGCTAACATACTAACATAAGCCAGATCAATTTCAAGAAACTTGTGTAGGCAAGATGAACAACCAAATACAAAAATATATTAGAATTTAACCATCTAACCCCCCATTATTAGGACAGGTTATTAAAATTATTAAAATAGATAGAGAAGAGATATTTTCACCTGGCACCAAAATGAGAGCAGACTTGGGCACCAGGCAAACTTCTCTGGGAAGCGTATTCCATAGATAACTTTGTCTTTGATTACTTTGAAGACTTTCAAAGTGACAAACAAATTCATCACAGCAAACCACTAAGGGTTTAGTGGATTCACAAGGTGTTCCAGTGTGCAGGAGACCACAAACTACTTGGAAAAATTCACTTGGTAGACAATGTGAAGACACAATAGAAGTGGTAAAATATTGAAATTTTGATACTTTTATTGCCATAGAATATGCTGTATAATGGTCTAAACATTAAGTTGTCTATTAGGTGTCATGTGCAAGTAAAGTATTAGACCTGTTTCTACCTCATTTGAGGAGCAGTGATGTATTGGCTTGGGTCTCTGCCAATCAGACTTTTTCATTTGGTTGCTCTCTATTGAATCACTGGGATTTATTTGTGTATAAATGGCTTTAGGCTCAACTTACAAGTATGTTTAGGGCTGCGTTTAAAGAATTCTGAATAAAAAGTACAATGACTTGACTAAAAGAAAGGATCTCCTTTAATTGTAAAAATGGAGTTCTGTTGGGGCCCCACTGGCAGTATTTTCTGCAGCTTTTTGCCTTCTCGATGAGCGTTTAGCTCAGGGGTCTCCTGTAGTACAGCAAATGTGTGTCTTATTTAGAGGAGGTGCCTGCTTCAGCTATTTCCTGTTTATATGGTTGTACTTATAGTTTTATTTATTCATGTTTTATGTTTTGTTTGTTATTCTCTCTCTCTCTCTCTCTCTCTCTCTCTCTCTCTCTCTCTCTCTCTCTGTGTGTGTGTCTGTGTCTGTGTCTGTGTCTGTGTCTGTGTCTGTGTCTGTGTCTGTGTGTAGCACTTTGAGCTGTCCAGAGAGCCTCTGGCTGTGGGGCAGCATACATTTGCAATAAAAAAAATAGTGCTATAACATTCAAATACAATAGTGGCAGAAGACATGCTATCTCTTAAGTGGTAGCATTTTACTTATGAGAGCACCTTAGGAAGGACTGTGTATATTGGAATAACCTAGCTAAGTCATTGTATGCAAGATTATAGTAATTCATTCTTAAGTGTGAATTTTGTGTTTTCTGCTTTATCTTGCAAAAGACATATCACTACACAGTTCTAATAATCTTTTTGGGTTTTCTTTATTCTAGACAGAATTAATAATTAAATCAGACTGAAAGATATGCTGTGATACTTGGGTTATATCATTACAAGTTCTTTTTTCCCATTTTTTAAATTAGGTCCAAAGTGCCACATCCTGTCCCAGCTGCGTCTGTGTCAATTCTAGTGCTTGGGACAAAGCAGATGAAGATGATGTGAAGCTAGTCAATATTCCAGTAACTACCCCAGAAAATTTGTATTTGATGGGTAAATGAACTGCATTTTTATGTACAGATCTTTTGCTATTCTTTTAAAATATGTCTGAATTCAGAACAAAGGATTGCAAGTTACTCTGAAGGAACAACTGGCTTCTTAATACCTCAGCACAAGGTATGTGTTGAGAATGAGAAGGGTAATGGTCCTTGGTGTGCACTCCCAGTTCACGTTAATCTGGACTTGTCAAAGGAGGAGAAGGGGAAAGAGGGGACCTTCAACCTTTGAGATAAGAGAAGTGGAAGATATTTGGAGGTGCTGAGGCAGTCTTTAAGAATAACCAAGATATATAGCTGTTGGGAGGGGGGATGGAAGAGGAGTCATTCTTTGTGGTCTCTGTACATCACACATGTAGGCTCTGCACACATGCATAGAGCTGTTTCAGGAAGATTCCAAAGCTGATTAATTATTATTTGGTGAGAGGCCATCCCATAAAACTATATGATACTCACCTTTTATTTTCCAGTTCCTTACTATTATTACTTTTACTGCTATTAATAAATTTATCATCAATCTGTTCTCTAAATAATGACAATAATGCTAATTCTGGATCAACTTCAATATTTAAATTCAATATTTTACTAATTTCCTTAAAGACCATTTCCCAAAAAACATTTGTATATATACACTTCCAACACATACGGAAATATGTACCCACTTCCTGGTTGCATCTCCAACAAACGTTGGAATACTCATTATTCATATAATTCAATTTAACTGAAATTAAGTACCATTTCCAAACCAGTTTATAAAAATTATCTTTAATTCTTACTGACATAAATTTTAAAATTGCCTTATCCCACATGTTAGTCCATTCTTCAGTACTAATATTTCTTTTTAGATCTATTTCCCAAGACTCTTTAAGAGGATCATATAGATCCTCCTCTTCTAGTAATCTTCTAGTAATCTAGTAAGATCAAGGAGTCTTACAGGCATTTCCTCCATTTTCAGGTGACTGATAAACCCTTCCAGTTCACTACCCTCCCTTTTGGTCTGGCAACGTTCCTTGTGTATTCATGAAATGTATGGCCATTGTTTGTTCTCACCGTTGTCTCAATGAGGTCCACATATACCCCTACCTAGATGACTGGCTTGTACTAGCTCCATTCAAAGAAGCCCCTTTACATGCCATTAATTTCACAAGTTCCCCCCAACTTACAGCACATTTTGAATGCCTCCCTCAAACCTTCCTCTTGCAAATTGTGCAATGCTAAGCAGACAGCATCTTCTACATTTGCACAACATTGATTCTTCCCAGTTATAATTTCTCCTTTTAAGATCTTTCTCTTTCTCAATTCCTTATATAAATGAGATCTCACCTGTTCTTCCATCCACATCTATTCAGCTGCCATCTCAGCTTTCCCCACACTGATCCAAGGCCGATTGACTTTTTCTTTATCCTCTCATTTGAAAATTCCTCAAGAGCATTTTAAATCTAGCCCCACCTGTTAAATGACCTGCTCCATCCTGGAGCCTTTCCGTTGTCCTTGATGTTCTTGCCAAGCCTCCATTTGATCCTATGGCTTCTACAGATCTCCACCTCCTTTCTTGGAAAACCACCTTCTTGATAGCCATTACCTCTGCCCATTGAGCCAGTCAACTCACTGCTCTTCAAATTGACCCTCCTTATACCATCTTGCATGTGATACTTTGCACTGACCCTACTTTCCTACCTAAAGCAGTCTCTTCTTTCTATATCAGCAAGACCATTGTCCTAGCGGTTTTCTTTCAGAGTCCTTCCAGCCCCATAGAGCTGGCCCTCCATTCTCTAGATGCCTGTAGAACATCAGCTTTCTAAAAAGCCAGGACTCAATCCATCCAGCAATCACAAAGACCCTTTATTGTGTATGGTGGCCCACACCATGAAATGCCTATCTCCTCCCAGAGGCTCTCTAAATGGATAATCTATACTATATCTTTGGTCTATTCCAATTCCAAAGAATGGCAATGCCAAAGAATGTTCAAACTCCCGCACCATTGCACTCAGGAAGGCCTGGAGGAGCGTTGTCCATGGTGTCACGCTGGGTCGGATGCGACTTCACAACTAGCAACAACAAGCAATCCATATAGTATAGACCAGTGAGCCCACAGGCAAAGATCAGGAATATGCTTTCAAAGTAAATGACTCCAAAACACTCCATGTAAGAGGAAAAAAACAGATGATACCAGATAAAGCGAATATCTGCTGCTAGACTGGTGTATTTAATGTTATTTCAGGAATGGAACTATTTGAAGAGGCACTTGGGAGATGGGAGCAGGCATTGATCTTTCGTAACAGACACGTTGAAGATGAAGCCAGCTGTGGCGCCATCAAACTTGGAGCTGGTGATGCTATTGCAGAAGAAAGTATAGAAGTGAGTGAACAATCATACATGTTTGCTAATGATCAAAAGGCTTTGATTTTTTTTCCTGGGGTAAAAGAAGTATTCCTGCTTCCTCACTGGAAGCTGGAATTATCCAAGGAAATCTCTTACACACCCATAGTTTGAGCACATATCTGGAGCAAATTATTTAATAAATCAGTCTGCAAGCACCATGAAGAAAAGGCAGTGATTAATAAAAGCCAACATGGATTTATCAAAAATAAATCCTGTCAGACTAATTTTTTGAAAAGGTAACCTCCCAAATTGACAGTGGAAAGACGGTGGACATAATCTACCTTGATTTTAGCAAAGCTTTCATCATAGTGCCAAACAACATCCTGATTAGCAAACTAACAAGAAGTGGACTAGATAGAAAAACAATTAGGTGAATCTAAAATTGGCTGCTAAACCAGACACAAAAGATGCTCCTCAATGTCGCCTTCCCAAACCGGAGGAAGGTAACTAGTGAGGTACCACAGGGTTCAGTTGTAGGTCCAGTGCTCTTCAAAATCCTTATTAATGATTTAGATGAGGAAGTACAAGGAATAAGAATCAAGTTTGCAGATGATACAAAACTGGATGGAATAGTGAACACACTGGGAGAATGAAGATTCAGGGAAAACTTGATTAGCTTGAACATTGGGTTGAAAGCCATAGAATGAGATTCAGTAGGGACAAATGCCAAGCCCTTCACCTAGGAAAAAGAAACCAAATGCATTGATACAAGTTGGGGAATATGCGGCTCAACACAGCTGAAAAAGAAGATGACCTTGGAGTTATTGTTAACAACAGGCGAAAAATGAGCAAGCAATGTGATGCAGCTGCAAAAAGGGCAAATTCTATTTTGAGATGCATTCATAGAAGTATTGCTTCCAAATCAAGAGACATAGCAGTTCCCCTATATTCCTCATTAGGCAGAGCTCATCTGGAATACTATGTCCAGTTCTGGGCACCAAGATTTAAGAAAGATAACATTCAAAAGGGTCCAGAGGAGGGCAACAAAAATGTTTAAGGGTTTGGAAACATCGTCCAGTGAGGAGAGACTGAGAGACCTGGGTATGTTCAACCTTGAGAAGAAAAGACTGAGGGTGGACATGACATCACTTTATGTACCTGAAAGGCTGTCTCAAAGAGGAAGGACAAGATCTCTTGCTGATGCCAGAGTGTAGGACACAGAATAATGACAACCCAGATTCAGGCTAGATATCAGGAAAAATTTCTTCACTGTCAGAGAAATATGATAGTGGAACCAGTTGCCTAGAGAAGTTTGGGCTCTCTCTCACTAGAGACATTCAGTAAGAAACTGGACGGTCATCTGAATGAGATGTTGCAAATTGGTGTCCTGCAATAGCAAGGGGTTGGACCCAATAGCTCTACTATTCTATGATACTGTTTTTTTATTGTCATTCTTCTCACAGTCAAATGATTTTGTACTGCTACAGAATCATACAATCATCTAAAATTTTCTGTTGCAAATGCCTGACTGATTCTGATTATGGTATGCTATGCTATTCAAGATAAGACTAGAAACTAGCACAGAAGAATTCAAATATTTTGTTGCTTCAAGCTACTCATTCTGAGTATTTTAATTTAGGTTTTAATTCGGTTTTTGTTTGTCCAAGACTACACATGTTTATGTAGTCATTTCAATGATTTCAGCACAAATTCAAGTACATCCATGTTCAGCAAACTGCATGGCCAAACACCCAAAGTCATCAGGTTAGGAAAGACTAGTCTAACTTTGCTATTCTTAGGTTTCAACCCTGTACATGTTTAGACAGAAGATTATTTTTTCTGTCAAAAAATGCATAGGATTTATTTATTTTATTTATTATGGTCATAGACCAGCATAAGCCAATGTGGGCCAGCATAAAAGATTAAACACTGCTTTTACATTACCCCAATTAAAATAACAATTTAAAATGGATTAAAAGGTAAATAGGCAAGTAACAGACACTAAAAATTGAGATAATCACCTAGACCACATAACTGAAATACATAATGCCACAGACATGAACATAATGGTTAATACTACTAAAAACTTCGTTGGAATTTGTTACAGTTTAAATATTAAAACATATAGATGTATAACTAAATAGCATAAGATTTACTTAACCTGAGTATTACCATGCAGAAGCTGGCTACTTGATACATGATCTTAGCATCTTTATCTGATAGAAAAAGCTCAGGTTTAGCTTTTTCAGAAAGAGTCAGATTATTCCAAAAGAGCAAAATAATGAGCTCATTGCATGCCTCTTTATAAAATAGGCATGAAAAAAAACCCCATATGTTTCAAGGTCTCCACCTCTCTTGTCTGGCAAGTACAAAGCTGTTCAGCAAAGGGGATGTTCTTGTACTTGCATTTGAGAATGGTTGAAGGAAGAGCAAAGCACCTGGCAAGAGTAAAAGCCCTTCTAACCAATGCATAGGATTGCAGCCTTAATAGCTTAGTTGCTATGGTAATTACATTTTTCAGTTCCTGCTGTTCTTGAATGCGGTACTGTATAAATAATGAATAACTTTTCATAACAGAATTTCCATCACCTGCTTAACATACTAGTACTGAAAGGCTCCATTTATGTGCTGCAACTTCTGTTTACAGGATATTATTAGTGCTGAATTCATTCATAAGCTTGAGTCTTTGCTCCAAAGAGCTTATCGTCTTCAGGAGGAGTTTGAGGTATCCCTTGGTGCATCTGATGCAACTTCCTTTGCAAACAATATTGGTGAGTGTTCCTATTGCTCCTGTTATGGCTGTTGTACTAGCAACAAGCAACCTTCCTCAACCTGGTATGCCCCATATATTGGGCTTGAACTCCCTACAGTTCCAGTCAGCATGGCTAGTGGCTAGGAATGGGAGATGTAGTCCAAAACATCAGAATGTCTTCAGGTTGAGGAAGGTTCTCTTGTGCTGTCTTTCTTAATAACAACAGGGACCTGCAATGGTGTTGCTGGGAAATTGAATAATAAATTACTTGTATTTTTGAGTTTCCTTCTCTGGCAGGAAAGGCCTATTCCACAGAGCTGGCATAATTCCCATGGGCAATGATAGTATGAGAAGCGCATATATATATATATATATATATATATATATATATATATATATATGGGAGTTTGTTTCCCACACAGAAACATTATTAGTACTGATTTTTTTTCTACATTTCTAGATCAAATGGCTGATTCCCAGTGCATTTAGGCAAGGAAGAGAAAGTAGGGTAGAAAAAAGGGAAATTCTTGTGTATCATGAAACTCATAGTTAATCTGCATATTGCTACTCTCTCTTTATAGCATCTCTTTTTGGGGAATTCATACTGCATATGTTTCAGTAGACTTATGGAAAATATAAATAGAAAAACATGTGAAAGCTATTAAAGTTATTTCTAACATACTTAGCTCTGTCAAATGGATTATCAGTTCTTTAAAATAAGTTGGGTCTGGCAAAGTTGTTTGCCAGACTTGGCAGTCTGTCTGTCTACTCTTAAGAAGACTGGCAGTATGATAAAATGTTTATATTCACCTGTAATGCTTGAGTTGGCTCACAATGGCATTTTATGAAAATTTAATTTTGGAGGTGTGAGTTGGTTGTAATCTGTTTGAAGTATGTGTCAAATCTGTTTTGACTGTATGTGTCAAAAATTTGAAGGTTATTCTTTTAGAAGACTGAGCTTGCCTTCTTAGGTCCAGAGGCAGTTGAAACTCAAACTCATAGGTCAAATCCAGCCAGCCTAGGGTTCCAACCCAGCCTCTCAGGATTTCTCAGATAACCACACTCACTTCCCCTACCCACATTTCCTGAACCACAGATTGGTTAATAGTGGTTTTTTTCCATTCTCAAAGATAGAAATGCCTCTCCTGAGGCTGTATATGCTTTATCCTACAATATGTTGTTTTTGTATTTTGAATCCACCTCCTTTGCATTCAAGCCTACCCAATACTGGAATATTGAGTGCTTTGCCAAGATTGAATTCAGCCCTCAAGCTGAAATAGGGTTGGTGATTAGCTGAATATGAAGTAGTATATGTGAAATGTATATACATTACTTTAAATATAAGAAGGTTATATGGAGATTATAACCTAAAAAGAAAGAAAAGCTAGTATTTTATGCCTGTTTCTGACTGTAAGTGTAAACTTCATACACAAATAGTTTCTCTTCATTTCCACTGGGTACCAAGTCTTGAAAATGGGAAACCGAAAAAATCAATTAAATGTTGTTGCATTTCAGACTAACTATTTGGTGGTGGTGAAAGATTTTGTGAAACTTAAATATGTAATCTAAAGGGCAATCCTATACTGATTTAGACAGAAAAGTGGCCTGCAGTTTCTAGTATGCCCAGCCCGTCATGCAGGCTGTTTTTTCTGTTTAAGGTCTCATGGGATTGTGCCCTAGGAGTAGGAGTTGTAAGCTTGAAAGTTCTGCTTCAAATCCCACTTTGGCTATTACCTCATTACATAGCCTCAGACAAGGTACAGAACCCTCCCACCCCAACTCACATTGTAATATAGGGCTGCTAGTATTGGCCTACTTTAGAGGCTTGTTACAAGGTTTATTGAGAATCTGCATAATGCTCTTTGAAGTGTTCAACATGCTGTGGAAATAATATATGTTTTACTCTTCATGAGTTCATGGGAATTCGATTGAAGGTGAAGTATAAATCAATGGAGAACCTCAAACATGGGAGACATATCATCAAGCCAGCCCCCAGGGCTCCCTAAAAGGCCACACACTTTCGCCTTTCCTCCAGCCTTGGACACTTAGTGGCTTCCTAGCTTTTCTGAAGTTTATTTATTCATTACACTTGTATACCACCTTTAGCCCTGTCTGCTACTGGAATATGGGCTCCAAGAGCATCTCCAAAATGGAATTTGGCCCTTGGATGGAAAGAGGTTTCCCATCCTTGCTCTAAGTAGTAATAATTCAGAAATGTTAGTCACTGAATAAATGGATACCAGTAATTTCTCTTCTAAATCACTTAAGAACAGCAGAGGGCAGCATTGCACAATTCAGAATATCAGGTTAAAGGGAAACGAACCACCAATGTAACCAATGTTACTGGGAAACAAATAACACCCTTGGATGTTAACTTGGTTTCAGAGTGTCTCTGTGGCCAAGCAGATTTATTGGTCACAATTTGTTTCCAGAAAAGTGTGCGTTTTTAACATAACTGCAAGTACCCATCATATTCTGCAATTGTCACTGTAGACAAGCTTGTTACCAATAACTTATTTATAGTTGATTATATATTTAAATAATAAAAAGGACATATCTTGACTCTGAAATGCATAAGTTCATTAGCAGTCAGCAGTCCCATTTTTATTTTCAATGACTATTGAAGTGTACTTCCTGGTGACATACTAGTTTAAATTTAGTTAGATTTCAGGCATTTCTTTTGAACACCTGTAAGTTTACAGAAAGGGAATTGGACATCAGCTCTGATGATAGAAACCATGCTACCCTATGTTGCCTTTGGTATGCATCTGTATATCAGCTGTTGGATGTCAATTTCTTTTTCAGTGTTTCATTCTAGCAGAGTCAGTCAAGTTTTCTCATTTTCAAAGACTTGAGTGATTTCTATTTCTCACCTTGTTTCTGGGGTGTTTGTTGTTTTGTTGCAAAGTCATGCCTGACCCATCACAACTGCATGGAAAACATTCCTCCAGGCTCTCCTGTTGTCCACCATCCCTTCGAGTCCACCCAAGCCCACACCCACTGCCCTAGTGACTCCATCTAGCAACATCATCCTCTGCCATCCCCTTCTCCTTTTGCCATCAATCGTTTCCAGCATCAGGGTCTTCTCCAGTAAGTTGTTCCTTCTCATTAGGTGGCCAAAGTATTTGAGTTTCATCTTCAATATCTGGCTTTCTAAAGAGCAGTCAGGGTTGATTTCCTTTCTTTTAGCCTTTTGGTACTGTCCATGGGGTATTCATGGCAAGGATACTGGAGTGGGTTGCCATTTCCTTTTCCAGTGGATCACCTTCTGTCAGAGCTCTCTGCTGTGACCAGTCCATCTTGGGTGCCCCTGCATGGCATAGCTCATAGCTTCATTGTGCTATGCAAGCTCCTTCACCACAGCAAGGCAGTGATTCATGAAGGGGTCAGGGGTGTTAAGATATTATAATATATGAAAAGAGCTGAGTAATTACTACCAGACTTTCTCCGCTGCCCCCCCGCCACTTGCTTTCATCTATGACAGTCTTTTATTATTTAGAAGGAATGTGCTGCAATTGATATCACTTATTTGATTTGTTTCTTGGTGATCACATTTACACTTGTAGGGATGAATTAGACACCCATTTTCTAAGAGAAATGAAGCAAAACCAAGCTTACTTGCATATCCATTGGATTGTGTCTGACCTACCTTGTACCATACTATTGTTGGGGCTGATGTACTGATTTACTTTAGACATGGTGCAGTACATACAAATGCAGAAAGTTAGCTATTGCACTGCATTGGTCAAACTAGCCTAATAATAAGGGGCAGTTCTGCTGACCCACCCTACTCTAGAATTAATATTTCTCTCATTTCTGGGATTGCTGTCAGAAGGGCTATTTTCTTTTCTGCAAGGTATGGTCCCATAGGATGGTGGAGAGAACCACTTTTAGTTGGATGTTGAATTCCATTTTGAGAATCACATACCAGTTATGGGTGGGGCTAAAAGCTGACAGGACAGGGCCAAAATGTCAGAAGTTCAAAGCGCACAAAGTCAAGAAGCCAGCAAAAAAAAAAAAAAAAAAAAATCAGTAGTTGGAAGAAGGGATAGAACCAGGGGAATGGGGACCTTCTTGGGTCCCGGGGGGTGGGGGGGGGGCACTGGAGGGCTGGATCAGACTCCCAAGTCTGAGGCTGTTCATCCCTGTACAGATACAATAAGACAGGAGTGCAGTGGCACTATTGCATAAAAAACAAGGTAAGCTTAGTAAGAAATGATTCCCCCCCCACCCTTTAACACACCAAAACAGGGGTGCCCAACCTGCCACCTGTGGGCTGCATGTGGCCTAGCATGGCCATGAATGAGGCCCAACACAAAATTGTAAACTCACTTAAAACATTATGAGATTTTTGGTGATGTTTTTTGTAACTTGATTGTGTGGTTCTCGAGCATGAACTTCGTAGATGACAATGTCGTGTCATGATGTCACATAAAAGAAACATATATAAGCTCTCACTATTTGTATGCATGCATGGCTTCCATTTTATGGTGGTGTGCAGCTTCCAGTGCGTTACCTTCCAAGTGCAGACACCATCAGACGTGAAACATAGCGATTATCAATAATATTTCAACCTACCATTGCAAATAATATTTCGACCTACCATTCCACACCCCAGTGGAGCCTCACGCATCGCCTGCCACACTGTACAATCGGCCCTCCACCTCATACTGCATCAGCAGCCAAGATGTGGAAAGCCTCAAGCCTTGCTTTCTATTTTCCTGTCAATTAATAGTTATGTGGTAGCATATTTAATAGCAAAAAAATCAAAACCATTTACTGATGGTGAGTTTATTAAGCAATGTATGGAAAGCGTGGCAGATATAATTTGCCCTGAAGAAAAGAGGGACAATTCTACAATCAGTTTGACTCACCAGACTACCCAGATGAATTGTAGAAATTGGAAAATCTACTGAAAGAAGTTTGGAGAGTAAAGTTGCTAATTTTAAATTTTATGCTTTGGCAATGGGTGACAGCACTGATGCTACACATTTAGCTCAACTTGTCATTTTTATTAGC